GAAATGTTTATTCTATTTCTCTCTATGTAAACGAAGTCTTGGGGTTGATTTCTAGTTGGGCGGATTTAGGAAGCTTTTCTGAATTAATTAGGGCCCGCAATTTTGGGTTTACGATGTTCATTATGGAATTTAACATATTTTCATTGCCTGTTCGCTGCCTGGCTTCTCATTACACAGGATATTGTGGCTTGATGACCAGATAATTGGGATGACTGTGTGGCTCTATATCATTACCACTATTAACTGTCCACTGCTGAACATAGGCGTCTCCTTATTGGGGAGGTTTTGCCAATAGTCGCCATGCTTGGCAGGCGAGTTGGCAACCGTAGTTAGGCTTTGCTGATGTTTTAAAAGGGACGCTATCCATTCTTCGATCATTAAGTTCCTTCATTCGCCTCTTAGGACATCCACGGGAAAGGACCTGGAAGGAGGTGACCTATGGTGACATATGGCGGGACCTATTATTTATTACGGTATTCATAGTGATTTCGAAGTCTCGTTTCTCATAGTACAGAGAAGTTATACCTACATAGGTATGATGATGCAAATCTAGCTATGCACGGCGGTAAAAGTTCAAAAGGACGCGGTCTCTCGACCTACATAGACAACGGCAATCAAGACGATAGTTAGGTACACAAAAGCCTCGTTCTCTATGGCACATCGTTGCATAAGCCATAGAAAAAAGCTATTGCAGACATGTTAATGTTGTATTATGTAAGAGCATAGTAAATAATTGAAATCAGCACAAAGAAGTACCATCATGTCGAAAAAATCATCCTCGTGAGTGGACGCCACAAGCGAGAATGATATCGTTGGAAGTCAGTCTATTTTTAATCGCCTTAAACATATTCTGCTCTAGGTTCAGGAATTATCAATGCATGGCACCGCTCTCTCAAAAATTTTTTTGACGATTTTGGGGGAAAAAGCATATAACATATAAAATTTGCTTCGTGTCAAGAAATTTATGAAAATCTTTGCTGATATGATTAGGGTTTAGACAAAAGCGTTATCCTTCTCCATACACTTCGCTCCATATTACATTATTACACATTTTGTCATAACTTTTGTAATGACTGTTTCACGTCAGTAATGACAAAATGTGTGAAACCATTGTAATATTACCGTATCACCTTATTGTACCACATTTTGAGCAATAAAATTCATTCATTCATTCACAAGAAACTTGACAACTTCTAGAAGTAGGTTGTGTTCCTAGAATTTGCTTTTCATTATGAACATGAAGGAATAACACCTGAGTCCTCAGGAATGAGGGGTATCATGGGCGAAACAGTATACTCTGTTATGTCCATGGTACTGCTCATATACATTCGCCTATGTTACGGTTACCACTTTCCATCAGGTGGGCCGTCAGCTTGTTTGCTATTCTAAGTTATATAAAAAAAAAAACATAAAGAAATTTGTTTATCTTTTTTTAACAACAGAAGGTTGAAATAAAGTTTACATCACCCGGATTTCACACGCTCTTTACATCTCCCAGACGTGTAGTATTATATTACCTGTGCCCAAACTAAGACTGGCCTTGAATTTATGATCAAAACAAATCGTTACATTATCTTAGTTTGGAGAAACTGGATTTGAATTATTTATTGTTAGTACTATTTGTCCAAGATGTACTAGTTGTGGTTGTAATAAATTCAACAGAGATTGGATGAGCTAGCGAATCATTCGACTAACTGAGGCAGTAGATCGGGTACGTTTATGTTGACCAGCACATTCTTGAATCAGTTGACTTGACTAAAAAAATGTAAATTCTATAAAAAAACCGACTTCAATTCTAACAGAAACACTTATTTTTATTTTAAAAACTAAACTAATGTACCGATTTTGATAGAATTTCTCTGGGACTAATCTGTAAGTATATCCTTTCAGATAAAAAAGTATTTTCCAAATCGCTTTAGAACTGGCAGAGTAATGAGGTAATAAACATAAAAGAGTATAACCGAATTGGAAAGCACCCTCTTTGTAAAGTCAGTTATTAAAAGCCCTATGGGCTAGATTTTATCCTGGCTGATTCTTACTACCATTATATATATATTCTTTATTTCAAATAGTACCTTTCTATCTATCTATCTATCCATTTAAAAGCTGCGCTCTTGTTGGTGGAGCTCTTGCCACTCACTACGATTTTCAGCGAGTCTCTTCACCTTTTGATACGACACGACACCAACTCCTTCCTTGATCTGCCTGATGCAACTATGTCTGGGTCTCCCTCTTCCTTCTATCTTACCTTCTATTATAATGTTCATAAGTTCGTCGTGTCGTATCAAGTGTTCTAACATTTTTCCCCTTCTGTCCTAAATATTTCTAAAAAATTGTTTTTTTTCCTTAACCCTAAGCAGGACCTCCTCATTGCTAATTCGATCCCTCCAGCTAATTTTCTCCATCCTTCTCCAGCACCACATTTCAGTGTACCTATACTTTAAAAAAAAATACTATTAGTTCTGTTCACTAGAAATTGTTGATCAGTCTAGGTAATTAAATCTGGAACTAATTATAATGAGCAAGCAATTTTTTTTATTCATAGACTGTTTGAATATGTATTGTATTAATGAGGCCACATTTTAGTCAAGTATTTACATATAATTTTTACTTTGTATTTTTTTTTATGTTTCTTTTATTTATTTTTTGTTCATTCCTGTTTTTGTAGCTTCATATGTAATGCTTCTATCTGTCTTGTTACTATTTGTTGAAACCTATTAGTGGCTCAGTTTGTAATCTTGGACTATATCTATTTACACTAGCATAGCCTTGGTTTTCCTTTAAATAAATAATTAAATTATAAAAGGTCAGTCCGTCCAGTGGGTACTATGGATAAACTAATATTTTTTTGTAATTTTACATATATGTATAGAATTTCACATTACGGAACAGAGTAGATACAAAGTATCCGCTCCGTATATCACATACATACATTACGTATATGTGAAATTTCACACATCTGTAAAGTGAGGACTGTGATGTGAATGTGTGAAACAAAAATATTTATTACCATTAGGTAATATTTTTAGTAGAAAACATCAAAAAAATTGATATTTGAGGATTTGCAAAAGATCATAAAGTTTGACTGCGTGTATGTTGTTGGAATTTGTATTTCTATATTATAAAATCGCCTTTTAATTTTATAATATATTTATTTTAATTATATCTATACACGTACTTGCACATTGGACACTTGTAACGGAAGAGAGTGAGGGCAATTTTAGAGTTGCCATATTATAATATTAAATTTAGTGTTTCCAACAAATATATATATATATAATATTTGGATATTAGTTACATAATCACGTTTCAATGGCTGAACCTTAGGGCTGTACAGAACCGTTAGAGATAGAAATTTGAAAATAAAATAAAAGCCACAATAAGTAGTATGATGTAAAATGTAGATTTTTAAAGAAATGTCAAATTTGAAAAAACTCTAGATTCGTAAATTTGCCATAGAGGTGACGATATGATGTATATAATAAAATGTACCAACATATAACATACAATAAGGTATGACCTTGAGGTTCCTTTAATGTTATAATGTTGTGTAGTACAAAATAAATAAACATATATGTGTAAGACCATATTTACCTTTACCATGATGTATTGCAAAAGATTAGCGATAGCCATAAAGTAAAATAAATAAATAAACATTGCTGGATAATTGCTGTCAGTCTTAATTTTTAACATGTTTTGTATTACGTAAAAGCGATTAGCACTTTGGTGCTGCATCTATGGAACGACCAACATATGAGTAAATCACTTGTGTAGACAGTCGCGTCCCTCTTAAAACATCACATAAACTTCCCTAGAAATCATCCTGGTTAATTTTTGATTAATTCACGACTGACCAACTGATCTGCTTTATCTTTGCCTATCATCCGTCACTGGTGCCCTCCAGTGTACATCGATAGTGAATTCGAGATTTCCATTCTATTTTTATACTTTAAATTTTTTTTTTAATTTTTTTAAGTACGTTTGTTCCGTTGTGGAAGAGGCTAAGGTCGGAGACCATGCTGCCTTAAAAATTTTATAAGCTTAAAAAAAAAATAAGAGTACAAAGTAATCTTGTTTTTTTTTATATAAATATCAATGTTTGGCAAGGTAGCAACATTATCTGTACCGAGAGTAAAATTGCGCATTGTGGTGGAAGGTATAATTAGGGAGATCATTTCGAAGTGAAGGGTGGTGCTGGTGTATGGGTCTATCTTTAAAGCCAGCATCATCCTTGATCCTATTTTCAACTGCCAAAACCGCGACTAGGTACACCACTATTTAAATTATTGTCATTAGTTATGGTGCTTAGTTCAACGACATTGTACACTGTTAACCTCAGTTAACAGTGTAATTTTGTCTCATTTTGCACTGCGCCTGGTGCTGCGCAGCTTGTGTTGCCATAACAATAAAATTAATTTACGGCGGTGGTAAAATTATATCGCTGTTCCATTTATGAATATAAGGTACTAGGGGGGAAAGGGATGGTTAGTAATGGAGACTGAGAATCCCATTGCTAGCAATATACCCAACCAGGTCGATCTCCTCGCGGTTCTCCCTGGAAATTGTCACGGTTAATTCCTGATGAATTCATCATGATGGGCTAACTGACCTGTTTTCATTCATCATCTATCACCCTTCACTGGTGCTCCGCCAGCGTATCCCGTTAGCGCAGGCGGGGTTACCATACCATTTTCACCCATAATATATATATATATATATATATATATATATATATATATATATATATATATATATATATATATATATATATATATATATATATATATATATATATATATATATATATAGTACATTTTAATTTTTGCCATTGTGATCTTTTATACTTCCATTGCCTTATACTATCATTTTATAGGCCCTAGGTATTAACTTTACGATATCTCGTGGTTTAAGATATACATAACATAGTCTTCTGGATCCTGCGCAGCCATTTTTAGAAGGCTCATACGCATTATTTAATCAGCAAAATTATTTACTTGCAGCCGTAACGGGCAGTTCGGACGGCATCGGTAAACAGTACGCTTTGGAGCTGGCGCGGCGGGGCTGCAACGTGATACTCATCAGTCGGAACCCTGACAAACTGAGGGCGGTCGCTGACCAAATTGGTAAATATATTCAACTTGGATATGTGATAAAAATGTGGGAACAGCCAAAAATGACTTCTGACTATCCTATCAGGGATTGCAGACGTGAGCATATTTTATTTTTAAAATGTATACTTTTTGGTATGGGGACAGTGGCGAATTTAACAGCAGGCTGTGTAGACTGGAGCCTGAAGCGATAGAATATAGGGGGCGACAAATTTAGAGCCATTTTTTTTTATAATCATTAAGTTACACTTAACTTCATTGCGAGCACAGAATATCATGGAAAGGCCACAGTGTTACAAGCTTTTTTGCCTGAAAAAAAACCTTCTTTCTATAATAATAAAACACTTTCATTGATGAAAAATTGTAGTTAATATAGCTAAAAATATCTGATTCTAGAGATATCAAAAGTATCTGATTATAGAGGTCGGTAGGAGAAGCAAAATTTAAATAGTCTGAAGGTTTGAAGGGTGGGATATGGCGTGAATTTACTGGGTACAGAGGAATAACACCTGAGTCCTTAGAAGTGGCAACGCATGGGGGGTATCATGGGCGAAACAGTATACTCTGTTATGTCGTTGTCTGTTATTGTCTATAGGCGACGGTTACCACTTTGCATCAGGTGGGCCGTCAGCTTGTTTGCCATTCTAAGTTGTATAAAAAAAAGTATTTTAGTAACAAGTATTGCAAATACAAAAGGGGAAAAGAACCGGACTCCATGCTCGGTTACACACGTATATTTTAATGTAAAACAGTACAATTATTAAAATTTTATTACTACATTAACACACGAACCGTGGACCGATCATTGTGACCGGTGTTTTATATTCATTATTTAATATCTCTGAAATTTATTGCTATAGCTAAATTTTTGTGACTTTTCATTTGCCACTTTTTACTGCGTTATGCGAAAAAATTACAATAAAAAAAAAAAAATATAATTATCACTTCGTGGTTTGTATACTTAGAACTGCGGAAACAAATTTCGGAGATATTAAGTAATGAATTTAAAATACCGGACCGCGGTTCGAGTGTTAATACGTAATATAATAAAAAGTATTTCTAATAAAAAAAAATACTTCCTAGAAAAATAATTTTTGACAACCCAAAAATAATGTTTACATTCCAGACAAATTATCATATTGAAGACTAGGCAGCATGGTCTCCGACCTTAGCCTGTTCCACAACGGAACAAACGTACTAAAAAAAAATAATGTTTACAAGTTTGTGAAGAAACTAAGAATAAATTTCGCGCGTTTTTTTCCGCGAATGCATATTCATAAAATTCCCATTATGTTACACAATATTAAATTATTGTACCTAAATTTTGCATGCTATTGTTTTAGCAAAACACGCATGTTCATAACATATTGTTTTTGATGGGTGTACCTAAATGGCATGGTAACCACGCCCGCGTTCTCGGTTTACACTGGCGGGGCAACAACAACTTTTGATATGTATAGATTAAAAATTATGTAGGTATAAACTACTAGAGTTTTACTAATTTATGACTATTTTTTTTTCTATTGTATTGAGAATCTATGATGGGAGGGCCTGCCTTATTATTTTCTATAATTTCAAATTTTGATTGTTCATTGTTGGACGTAGATTTCTTATTAGTTGCGGAGTTAATTTCTGAACTTTGTTTTTTTATTTAGATTGGCAAACAACTTGGGTGCAATGGCAAACAGCTTCGCACGGGTAGATAGAATTTTCGAAAAAAAAAAAAATATATATATATATATATATATATATATAATATATATATATATATATATATATATATATATATATATATATATATATATATATATATATATATATATATATATATATATATATATATATATATATATATATCCAGAGAGGGAGCACAAGGTGAAGACAAAAATAATAATCGCTGACTTCAGCCTGGGTGCTGAAGTATACCCGAAGATAGAGCAGGAGCTGAAGGATATACCTATAGGAATATTAGGTAAGCCTGGTGTATGCTTTATAAATGTTATTATATATACATTATAAGGTACATATATACAGATATTCCTTATTGCATTAAAACATACAGTAATAACAACAAATTAATAACACAAGTTAGCAAAGGCGAACTTATCTTTAAAAGAGATTTCTCCCAGTCAACATAACACAGTGGCATAGGAAGTATTGAGTGAGCAGTAGTAGTGCTAAACGGAAAGTAAAATAAATATTTACATAAATAACAAATCATAAATATATACACATTAATATGTATATACAATATCTAATTGTAACATACATCAGTAATACTCAAGTTGAAAATACTGCCTTGCCAACAGACAGTTGAGGACGCAGGAATCTCCCACGTGTACATAGTTATTTTCTGATCCGAGTCAACTTAGAGACTTTGGCACTTTTCTTTATTCACTGGTTGGCTTACCATAATATCATTTTTGTATTTTCTATTTTATTATAGATGATTAAATAATAAATAAAAATAATAATAATAAATAATCTTTATTTACTACTCACAAGGAATATTTTACATTGTATGACTATTTAGTATTTTAACTTAAAATTATTATCCTTGTGAGAGTCTGGTGTCTGAACTAGGTCGAAACCTGTACTACAGACCTCCAGGCTCTACTGAACGTCAACACTAATGATACTCAATCATGACATGACATGATAATCAATCTATTTGTTTTTGTTTACATTTTAGTGCTTTTTATTTTTGTGATTTTAGTATTATGTATAGAATTTGTTAAGTATTGATAGAGGTATAGCCAAAGTTCTAGACAGAGTACGAGTATAAGAATAATTATTTTATCAATATTACAGGGTACAGAGGAATAACACCTGAGTCCTCAGGAATGGCAACGCATGGGGAGTATAATAGGCGAAACAGTATACTCTGTTATGTCCATGCTACTGCTCATGTCTATAGGCGACGGTTACCACTTTCCATCAGGTGGGCCGACAACTTGTTTGCCATTCTAAGTTGTATAAAAAAAAAATAAAGACAGGCTACATTACATTCCAGGTACACGAACAAAGTCACGGGCACAGCTGATGTGTATAAATATGTGCTTGCTAATCGATTAGTCAATAGGTTCATGAACTTTTCTAAATATCTCAATACAAATATTATGTAGGAGTAATTCAATCCAAGTTTTTACATCGACCGCGAGACATAACATTTCTAAATCGACCTCTCCGACCGAAGTGGCCTGCTTAGTTAAAGCGAAGCTACAAGCTTCTTATAGAATTTTTTTCTTTTTTTTTTATAAAACAGTAAATGTTATACAAGCTGACGGCCCATCTGATAAAAAAAACACTAACTGTTGCCCATAGACATGAACAGAGTAGCGCGGATGTCACAGAATACTTTGTAATGTCTATGGTAACTGTCACGTGTAGGGGGGAAGGCAATAGTAACGCGAACTGCCAGTCTCATTGCTAGCAATATATCTTGTCAGATCGATTTCCACGTGGTCCCCCTCTAGTGATCATCGTGCTATATTCCAGGTGTGTTCATCACAATGGGCTAACGGACCTGTTATTTATTCTAACCTATCATTCCTTACTGGTGCCTCACCAGTGTATATCGTTAACGTAGGCGGGGTTACATTACCACCCATTAAAAAAACTCTCATGGGTGATAGTTTTTTTTTAATGAGGACTATGGTGTCCGTACCCTATAATTTAATGATTCTTCAAACCGAAAAGCCAATATTGTTACGAGTTTTAGTTTTATACAACTTACAATGGCAAACAAGCTGACGGCCCACCTGATGGAAAGTGGTAGCCGTCGCCTATGGACAAGAGCAGTACCATGGACATAACAGAGTATACCTCCCATGCGTTGCCATTCCTGAGGACTCAGGTGTTATTCCTCTGTACCCAGTAAATTCACGCCATACGCCACTCTTCAAACCGAAACGCAGCCATGCAAACACAACTGTTTCACGGTTGAAACACGAACGGGACAGAGGTACCCAAGCAAACGACTTTTGTACAAAGTCTCCCTCTGGTGAATAAATTGGATTGAATAGTTCATAGTCGTGTCGCGCAGAAATTCTTTGAAATCCTATCAAGACATACTTCGAAGTGTGATTATTGTAACTGTTAACAATTTTGGTAGACTGTTTATTTACTCGAACGAATCGTGTCGAACGGTCGCTAACGATATATGTCGCAATTGCTTACTTTGCGCGTCTGTAAGATCCACTACACTGTTTGCTGTCACATTAGTATTTGTTTTTATTTTCGTACTGGTCGTCTGTAAGATGGTTTGAGGACTGAGCAAATATTGAGACACTTGTTAAAAATGCCTGACAATTTCCATCCGAATCGTATTTTAATTTTAATTTTGTGACAACGACCTGTGATGAAATATATGTTGAAATAAAACCAAATACGATGTGTTAACTAACACAACCTTTGGGGGGAAAGGGATTGTTTTTTTTTTTTTTTTTTTGATGGGTGAAAATGGTATGGTAACCCCGCCTGCGCTAACGGGATACGCTGGCGGAGCACCAGTGGAGGGTGATAGATGAGAATGAAAACAGGCCAGTTAGCCCATCATGATGAATTCATCAGGAATTAACCATGATAGTTTCCAGGGGGAACCGCGAGGAGGTCGACCTGGTTGGGTATATTGCTAGCAATGGGATTCTAAGTCTCCATTACTAATAATCCCTTTCCCCCCCGGAAAGGGATTGTTAGCAATGGAGTTTGACAGGCCCATTGCTAACAATATATCCTATCAGGTCGACCTCCACGTGGTTCCCCTGGAAACCATCGTGAACAATTCGTGTTGAATTCGTCAAGATGGGCTTACTGACCTGCTTCATCCTTACCTATTATCCTTCACTGGTGTTCCTCCGGTGTATACCGGTACCATTATTATGAAGTATACCGATACCATTACCATGGTGGGATTACCATTCAATTATCATCCAATAAGACTAACACAACCTCTCACAAAATTTGTTTTTATTTAGAAACAAAAATTACAAAAAAGTAAATTTAAAATTCTCAAAGGATAAGCAGGCTTAAGTGGCAACGGGCTGGTCACATTGTTCAAAGAACCGACAATCGAAGGGGAAGTAAGGTTCTTGAATGGCGACCTAGTACGGGCAAACGCAGTGTAGGACGACCCCCCACTAGATGGAGTGACGACCTGAAATGCATTGCAGGGAGTCACTGGATGCAGGTGGCTCAGAAGCATGGGGGAGGCTTATGTCCAACAGTGGACGGATAATGGCTGAAATGATGATGTCGAATTAAAATTCTCGGAAAAACGAACAATCTGTATCAACGACTCTACACAGCGCATGGTGTGCACCTATTATGTAGAAAAAGTAAAAAAAATTCAAAAATCGAATTGCATCGACAATTCTAAGGAGTACAAGATGTGTTGTAACTTTTTTTTCTTAGATTATGAAAAATAAAAATTTCCGGTTGGGCAAAATTAAAAAATGAAATTTGCTGTTTTAGTTTGAGTATTGGTGTTCTGGGTTATGCAATCAGATGTTCGCTACCTGGTTCCTCGAAACACGGTGTCCTAGCTTGAGAAGCAGGCAATAGGTGTAATTTTGTAGCATTTATCATCTTGTTTATTTATTTTATACAACTTTATTGACAAAAGAAAATATGGTACAAAAGGTGGACTTAATGCTGGTAGCATTCTTAACCCTTCTTTTCATACTGGTGGAAATTTCCATCACAACATTGAATGCCCAAAAATTATATAAAAGAACAAGTTCACTTTAAGTTGATCGTGTCTGGATACCTTTTTAATGTCCATTGCAGAAAAAAAAACATACCAGAGGATGATTTGTACAAAAGTTGATTGCTTGGGCACCTCTGTCCCATTCGTGTTTCAACCGTGAAGCAGCTGTGTTTGCATGGCTGTGTTTCGTTTTGCAGGGTGGGCATATGGCGTGAATTTACTGGGTACAGAGGAATAACACCTGAGTCCTCAGGAATGGCAACGCGTGGGGGGTATCATGGGTGAAACAGTATACTCTGTCATGTCCATGGTACTGCTCATGTCTATAGGCGACGGTTGCCACTTTCCATCAGGTGGACCGTCAGCTTGTTGCCATTCTAAGTTGTATAAAAAAAAATAGCTGTCAAATTTATTTTTTTAACCATTTTTCCTTTAATTTTGTACATGAATCATATCACCTTGATTTATTTCACCAATAAAAAAAAATCATGCAAAGAAGGCTTAATATCAATTGTCGATTTTTTTGCCTCATTACAGTGAACAATGTCGGTATGAATTATGATTATCCTATGCGATTATGTGAGCTGCCGTCCTCTAAAATGTGGGACGTGATCAATGTGAACGTGGGCGCCGTGACCGCAATGTCCAGGATGGTGTTGCCCGGGATGGTCAGCAGGGGGCGCGGCGCAGTCGTCAACGTGTCGTCCGGCTCTGAGCTGCAGCCGCTACCGCTGATGACCGTGTATGCTGCCACAAAAGTATGCATTGACTGATTCAATATTATTTTTATAGTTAGTTCTAGTTTTCTGTGAGTTTTTTTTTTTTATAGGTGAAAATGGTATGGTAACCCCGCTTGCGCTAACGGGATACGCTGGCGGAGCACCAGTGAAGGGTGATAGATGAGAATGAAAACAGGCCAGTTAGCCTATCATGACGAATTCATCAGGAATTAACCATGATAGTTTCCAAGGGGAACCGCGAGGAGGTCGTCCTGGTTAGGTCTCGTTGCTAGCGATGGGATTCTCAGTCTCCATTACTAACAATCCCTTTCCCCTGTTTTCTATAAGTTCAGATGCTTTCGATAGGACAAATGTAAACTAACTGGCCGTGACAGTTCCGGCATAGAATAAGCCACCCATTCCTTTCCCGAGTGGGTGTCGTAAGAGGCGACTAAGGAAGCTTATGGTGGAGGGATGGACAGCAGGATTCCTCTAAAAACATGTATAAAAGCCTAACTGAGGTTGCCATATTAATAATATAAACAAACTATATTAATAATTGCAGGCGTACGTCCGCAGCTTCACCCTCGCGCTGCGCGAGGAGTACGCTTCCAAGGGCATCTACATCCAGCACCTGTCGCCACTCTTCGTCTCCACGAAGATCAACTCGTTCTCGCAGCGGCTGATGGAGGGCAACCTACTCGTGCCTGACGCTGCCACGTTCTCGAGACACGCCGTCGAGACTCTCGGCAAAGTACACAATACTACGGGATTCTGGATCCATGGTATACAGGTGGGTGGTGGTTTTTTTTTTATGGGATGATAATGGAATGTAATCCAGCTTCCGCTATCGGTATACGCTTGTGGGGCACTAGTGAGAGATGATAGGTGAGGATGAAATCAGGTCAATTGGTCCATTGTGACAAATTCAATATCTTATATATAAAATTCTCATGTCACGGTGTTTGTTACCAAACTCCTTCGAAACGGCTTTACCGATTTTCATGAAATTTTGTGTGCATATTGGGTAGCTCTGAGAATCGGCCAACATCTATTTTTCATACCATTCAATGATAAAGGTGACCCTAACCAATATTTTTATTTTAATGGACTACAAAAAAAATATTCTCCAAATAATGTATATGGCAAAACAACGTTTGCTGGGTCAGCTAGTAATTATATAATATTGATATAACAGTGATAATGGAATGGTAACCCCACCCGCGCTATCGGTATACACCGGCGGGGCACCAGTGAAGGATGATAGGTGAGGATGAAACAGGTCAGTTAGCCCATCGTGACGAATTCAACAAGAATTGTTCACGATGGTTTCCAGGGGGAACCACGTGGAGGTTGACCTGATAGGGCATATTGCTAGCAATGGGGCTGTCAAACTTCATTGCTAACAATCCCTTACCCCCATATTTTCTATTATATGTATACATATTTCAGACGTTCGATAACCCTAAAGGTGTCACACGCGTCTTTAGGGTTGTCAAATGTAAAAAAAAAATTAAAGAAAAGTTGAATGTACTGTGATTTTATGTGTTCCAGTATTTTTTTATAAAACTGGCTCCGGAGTGGATGAGGACGAAGATCGGTCTGCACATGAACAAGGGGTTCTGGAGAGAGTACAGGCAGAACCAAGTTAAATCGAATTAATAGGTACAATGTTAGTCATAAACTGGCTATCTTATTCGTAAAAATATCAAATCTCTCATAAAATAAACTTATTTTAGCTATTGATCTGTTTTGTCTCTTTCTTCTACATTAACTTCCCAATTTGAAAGAAAGTGACAAAACAGTGCAATAGTTAAAAGATGTCTGTAGGATATTTTAGTTTTTATGAATAAGATTGTTAGAACGTAGTAGGAAATGTCTGCGTGTGCGCTGCACCGAAATATAACAAAACAAGAATATGATTGTAAATATAACGAAATTTTGCTCCACAAAAAAAAAATCTTTATTTCAAACAGTGAATTATAAAATTGATTAACAACGGTCCCCATATGGGTCGAGCCTGTATCTGGGGAACCTATTAAATACCAACTACAATGGTGATAAAACCGATTTAGATGAAATCTCTTTTCAATTCAAATTAAAAGTATATCCTTTCAAACAAAGAAAAAATAATTTACCAAATCGGTTTATAATTGACCAAGTTCTGAGGCAAAAGCATAAAAAAAAACACTCTAATTGGTAACATCCTGCTCTCTGACATCGGTACGACCTTTATAATGGGCATCCTCAGCTGCTGTCATCCGCATAACAATGCACGTCACCTCAGGACAACATATCACTAATATGCAGTAGGAACAACCTCGAGGATAGCACAGAGTCCTGCGGGACACCAGCGTTAATGTCCATGCTTTCGGATCAGCAACCATCAACAGCGGTTTTTATGCATCTGCCGGACAAAAAACTGGCGACCCATTCGCAAAAGTTGTCGGGAAGTCCATAGTAGGGCAATTTCGATAGAAGACCCCGATGCCGGACCCGGTCAAAGCCTTTGATTATTGGCATAGGTTACAATATCAATGTAACCTATGTCTAGTTGCGAGTCATATAAAACTACTCCCACTTGAAAGTTTTTGTAAAGGACTACGCACGAATTTATGAGGTTGAAGTGGCCTTAAATGTTTTGTTGTGTACTTATCATCATATCAGCCTCTAACTGTCCACTGCTGAACATAAGCCTCTCCCTTGAGGGGGTTTGCCAGTAGTTGCCACGCTTGGCAGGCGGATTGGCAACCTCAATTAGACTTTGGAGATGTTTTAAGACGTATACTGTTGCCTTAAAATAATACTTAAAATAATAGAGAATAGAAGAGGCAAAATGCTGGGCCACCTTATACGACATGACGATTTTTTTAAGAGCATAGTAGAAGGAAAAATAGAGGGCAAAAGAGGAAGAGGAAGACCGAGGAATAACTACATGGGACAGATAAAGGGAACACTAGGTGTCACGTCGTATAGGGAGATAAAGGATATGGCCTGGGATAGAGCTGGCTGGAAGAAGATGCATGAATTAGTTGCACCGACAAGAGGAAACTCTTAAATGAAAAAAAAAAACTGTTGCCTATCTTCGCCCTCCCTTAGTCACCTATTACGACGCTGCGGGAAAGGAGAGGGTGGCCTATTCTATGCCGGGACCACACGGCAGTTATGTACTTATAAAGTAGGTAAATAAATAACAATAAATAAATACACTACCAGCGAGTGTAGCGGTTTCAGGAAATAATACTCGTATTGGAAATGGAAGGAAGGAATGCGGTGAAGGTGGTGGTATACATTCTAGTAGAAAAAAAAAACAATAACAAATGGAGTAGTTGAATTAATATTAATTAAATTTGGATAGTCGACTATTGTCTATGTGGTGACCGTAGACTCAATTTGTCATTTTTTTTTTATTATAATCAGTATTTAAAAGTGCCAAGTGCGGTACGTTCAGAAATTAGAAATGGCCATATCTTTTATGGGTCGATCTTTTGATACATTTTGACTGACAATTTAGCGAATTAATTTAAATAAATCTACTGATTAGTTGAATGTAAACGAAGTCCCATACTCACCTAAGTCTGCTCAATGTCTGAAAGGTAATAATAAAGTCTGTAAGATCAATTAATGGTACCGAATGAGATTTCTTTTGAGTTCCGTACCAAATATTAGAAAGCGACCTCTATGCTTGTTAATGAATTTTATATGCAAGTTGAGATATTGTGGAAACGGATTCAATAGTTAATGTTTTATTAAGTTTTATTTTTGTATATAAATAAATATTATTATTTTCTTTTTGGTACTTTTATTTCACGTGGAAACAACAGAATCTGTTTTGATGTATCATTGTGTAATGGTTTATTATGATTGTATTGTGTTTAGAATATTACTTGTAGAAAAATAATAATTTTCGAGTTACGACCCTCTTATATAGTTATGACGGTGGCAGAAATGGTCGTAAAATATATTAAATAAGTGTATATATCACTAATAACAATTTTCATCCTGAATATATACACACCATACCTACATATCCGTTAGCGCAGGCGGGGTTACCATTTCATTATCATTCATATAAAAAAAAAATTAGGGTAGAAAAAAACAATGGAACGCTCTTATATAATGCTTCGATTCGTAAAATATATTAAATAACTATATAACACTAATAACAATTATAATATGAATATATACACACCAATACTTAAATAATGAGTAATAATAATACAGAAAATACGTACCTATCGTGATACAATTTCAATGACTGGATAATATTGTAACAGATTCTTACGACTATTTCTAAAGTGAAAAAAAAAGTGTTGTCCTCCTCTCTCGTACTTGCTGCGCCCAAAAGGGTCCATAATTGAAGTTGAAATGTTATCTACCAAACACATTATGGAATGCAATAAGAAATAAATAAATAAAATAAATAAAAATGGCGCAGACTGCCACTGGGAAAAAGCAGAAGAGCCCTAAGTAGGTTTTATTAAGTCTGTGACTGAGTTTATAGCATTTGTCTTGATGACTAAATGTCACATGACGTTCAAAAGTCTATTTTTGAGCCAGTAAATATATAATACTAGTAATTTGTTTGAATAAGTTTTTTTCAAAGTTCGAGTTGTGTGTAAATAAATATGCCCAGGCTACGAATTATCTAGAGTCCTACAGTGATTGAGTTTTAATATAAAAAAGACAAAATATTAAGCATGCGACAATCGCAAATGTATGATTCTAGTAAGTTCAGTACTGTGACAAACAGACGGAGCCGAAGTACGTCCTCCCCCCGAGACATAGAGTTGCAATATTTTGAAAACCGCAATGAGGTGAGTGTTGATACGACTTGTAGGTAATCAATATTCTTATGTGAGTTATTGAAGTTGGTGGCGGAAGACCCAAAAAAAAACCAATTTTATAAATATAACTAAATTTAATTCTAACATTAATTATTACAATAATAAGTGTCTTCAGATCGATGTGTGATCCGTAAGTGAAATCATATCGAATCAAACATAAAGGAAATGGGTATTTTTGCTGCGGGAATTGAAATGCTGACTCGACGCGGGTGTCTTTCTCGGTAGCGCATCTTCTTGTGTCATGCTAGGTGGTCCGATCCGATCGCCGTTGAGGGTGTGTCGTAATACTTGATGGGTATCTAACACTTGCGTAAAGGCTTTTTTTATACAACATACCAAGTTTAATTAAAGCTAAACAAGCGTGCTCTCAGCTTGTTTACCATTTCAAGTTTTTTGATGGCCGTGCTATTGTCCTCCGCTGTTAGCATCTGACACATCATCATCATTTTTTTATACAACGTAGAATGGCAAACAAGCTGACGGCCCACCTGATGGAAAGTGGTAACCGTCGCCTATAGACATGAGCTGTACCATGGACATAACAGAGTATACTGTTTCGCACATGATAGAGATGTTATTCCTCTGGACCCTGTAAATTCACTGCCATATCCCACTCTTCAAGGGGCGGCCCGCCCCAAGCCATTGGCCTTGGGAAGCCTCCAAACACTTTCATTTTCCTCATTCATATCTCTGTTCTGTATATGTTCAATTAAGTCTAATTAAATTTTCACTTGCAAAATTGGACTCATTCAGTTTTAACGCCCCGAGTCTCTGACGAACTTAGTCCGCCACTGGACAGAAGTCCAGCCCCCCTCCACCCCTCGGAAATCAGTGTGCTGAATTCTAGGTGTATTTTTTTTTTAATGATAATGGAATGGTAACCCCACCCGCGTTATCGGTATTCACCGGCGGAGCTCCAGTGAAGGATGATAGGTGAGTATGAAGCAGGTCAGTTAGCCCAACGTGACGAATTCAACAAGAATTGTTCACGATGGTTTCCAGGGGGAACCACGTGGAGGTCGACCTAATAGCGCATATTGCTAGCAATGGTGCTGTCAAACTCCATTGCTAACAATCCCTTTCCCCCCTCTAGGTGTATTTATCACGATGAACTAATTGACCTGCCTTTTCATTTACACCTATTATCCCACACTGGTGCCCCGTCAGCGTATACCGTTAGCGCAGGAGAGGTAACCACTTCATTATCATCTATTGATAAAAAAAAACCCCACAATAGTGGGGAATTTATTCTTTCATATTCATAATTCTTTATTAACCAATGTAACAGTTTTCGTCACACAATGGCCAGTCAATATTTACATTATAATTTTGAAATTAATAACATTTATAGTAAGCAGAGTCGTGGGTTGTGAATTAAACATACATTTAAATTATAAAAAAAAAAAATCATAATAATAAATCAAATAATAAATCTTTTATACTCACTCTTAGCTAGAGTATCCTCTGTGGTGGACAAGAGACCGCTTTTCCCGCTGGCTACACTCCGTTCCTGATGACACGTTCTGGAATATTCTGATGTGCATTGTGGCGCTGGTGGCGATCGTATGGGTAGCTGTTGAACACAGCCACCCCGTTATACACTTGGTGGATGCGCTGTACAATGTCATATACGCTGTCCACGTGCTGGGGATAGCGTATGATTCATTTATCACAATTGAGATTGTTGAAGTGGGCTACTGTACAATGTGTTAGTACTTTCAAAGTAATATTATAAGTAGGAAATATTTGATATTTATTTGTGGTTAAACTCAAAAAATGGTGAACCTATTTTAAACATTCTTTCACGTATAGAAAAATGAAATGTTAAAGAAATACATATTAATATCGGTTATTCTATCAATGCGAAGATTAAAATGTAGAGAATAAAATTAAAAAATGTATAAAATATAGTCAAATTGCAAATGGCGTCTTTTTGTAATGTAACGCAGTTCGTTTCGTGGTGGACTTGGCGTCGTACCTTCATTACGTGCTGGTGGTAGACCGGCGCAAGGAGTTCAAATTATTGTGCTACTACCTACGGCTTCACAGGCCGTTCAAATATCTTTGTAAGTATTTGCGTCGTGACAAAGTCGCGATTTATCTTATATTAAAAGAGGTTATCTGGAAGAGATTGCTTAGCGATAATACCGTCTTTTGTATCATTTAGCATTGAAATTAATTGTATTTGTTGTATTTTTAATTGTGCAATATTTATTTACCACTAATTACCACGTTTTTTTTATTTAACACTGAAGTGGCAAACAAGCATACGGTTCACCTGACGGTAAGCGGTTACCGTAGCCTATGAACGCCTGCAATACCAGGGGTATTACGCACGGTTTGCCAACGCTGAAGAAATCAGTTTAATAGTAGAAGGCTTTAAAAAAAGTAATAAAGCCTGATTCTGAATTATCATTTCTCTAAACGATAGATTTAAGACAATCTTAACCTTGTCTTTTTATTTGATAAAATGATCATGAATTAAAATAATTAAACAATAGACTTAAACAATTTTTTTTATACAACTTAGAATGGCAAACAAGCTGACGGCCCACCTGATGGAAAGTGGTAATCGTCGCCTATAGACATGAGTAGTACCATGGACATAACAGAGTATACTGTTTCGCCCATGATACCCCCCATGCGTTGCCATTCCTGAGGACTCGGTTGTTATTCCTCTGTACCCTGTAAATTCACGACATATCCCACCCTTCAAACCTAAACACAGCCATGCAAACACAACTGCTTCACGGTTGAAACACGAATGGGACAGAGGTACCCAAGCAAACGACTTTTGTACAAAGTCTCCCTCTGGTAAAAATATTAGAAATCTATTAGAAAATTAGTCTTTACATTTTTACATCTAATTTATTTATTAGAGACTACCATGTGGTCCCGCCATAGAACAGGCCACGTCCTCCTTTCCTGTGGGTGTCGTAAGAGGTGACTAAGGGAGGACGAGGGATGGACAGCAACGTCTCTCTTATTACCAAAAGCCTTACAGCGGTTGCCAACCCGTCTGCCAACCGTGGCAATTACTGGCAATAACCTCCTTTATAGAGGAGGCTCGTGTTCACCAGTGGACAGTTACTGGCTGATGTGATGATAATTGAAAAAAATCAAATACGTAGAATTTTAGTTTTTTTTTTTCAGGGCAATTAAATGATTATAACCTCAAAAGTAGCATTCTTGGTACAACCCTCAAGTACTGCTACATATTTCTCGTATTAAGAGTCACGTGGGCAATCATCTGGCTTCATGTTGATGAGGTTTGTCTGTATAAATAACAATTTATATGATAGAATCTAAATAAATAAATAACAATATTATTTTTAAAACTTCATGTTAATCTTATATATAAAATTCTCGTGTCGCGGTGTTTGTTACCAAACTCCTCCGAAACGGCTTTACCGATATTTATGAAATTTTGTGTGCATATCGGGTTGTCTGAGAATCAGCCAACATCTATTTTTCATACCCCTCAATGATAAGGGTGACCCTCCCCAAAAAAAAAATTTATATTTTTGTGACAAATTTTTCCATTTTTATTTTATTATGATTTAGCATTTAAAAAGTACGCACAACTTTAAATTTTTATATATATATATATATATATATATATATATATATATATATATATATATATTATGGGTGAAAATGGTATGGTTACCCCGCCTGTGCTAACGGGACACCCCGGCGGAGCACCAGTGAAGGGTGATAGATGAGAATGAAAACAGGCCAGTTAGCCCGTCATGATGAATTCATCAGGAATTAACCATGATAGTTTACAGGGAGAACCGCGAGAAGGTCGACCTGGTTGGGTATATTGCTTGCAATGGGATTCTCAGTCTCCATTACTAACAATCCCTTTCCCCCCTTTAATAGACTTACTGTGCTTGCGTTTCCGACAATTGTTTCGACATCATTAATTTGTGCATATGTGTGGAGATTTTGTGGATTTCATAAGAGGGACCCTAATGGTCGAAAGATGGGCAGTAGCGTTCTTCTTAGAACATCACAAAAAGCTTTGTTGTTGCCAACCTACTACCTGCCAACGAGGAAACTACTGGCAAAATCCCCCCCCACCCTCACCCCTCCAATTGTAAGCTGCAATCGTAGTGACAAAGAAACGGCAACCATAATGGTTTTGTTTCTTGGTACATACATAACTATTTTTTTTTTTTGTTTTTTATCTCAAGATTTCAGCTTGATCAAACCTCACCTGATGGTAAGTGACGGAGCTATGCTATTTAATTGTCTATGACAGAAACAGTAAAGACTGCGTTCATTTTAGAATAATCCAGTAAATATATGTAGCTATATAAAACTACTTTAATTTTTTTTTTAATATTTTGTGGGTAGTTTGAGCGTGAATACACTGAGGTAGCATGGAGGCGCGCTCCGTACGAAGTGCAACAAGATAACCGACACTTCCAAGGCAACAAGGACAATATCGCCAGTCAATTCCTTTTTGCAGTGTATATCGTCAATAAAATGTTCATACCTATTGGGTAATTTTACTTTACGAGTATTTGCATGTAAATAAAATATATATGAAACAACTAGTTGTATTTTGCGGCTTTGCCCGCGTGAATCAGTATACAAAGTATACTATAGGGTAATTATATTAGGATATAATTTACCCGTAAAATAAATTTCATTTAAATCCGTTCAGTAGTTTTTATGTGAAAGGGTAACAAACTTCCATTCTTACAATCTTTCGCATTTAATATATTAATAGATTAAATCCTAAAATAAGTTTAACGACTAAGAAAAAGAGTTTTTGTTTAATTTTTGTTGAATTTTTTTAATAAACGTAATAAAAGTTATTCTTTATCTGTGGTATTATCGAATTCCCGCCTTCTCAATTCGCGGGAAACTCAAATTAGTTCGTTTTTTAAATTAAGTTGTATTTAAAAAAAATCTTTATAAATTACGAGTAAACATTTATTAAAACTCATCAATCATTCGTATTTTTATGTTTCTAAATAATTAATATGGTTTATTATCTACCAGGCCATCAGTAGCACCATCGAACGATATAGAACGAATAACCTGTTTGTTTGTAATGATATCGGGATGCCTGGTGGTGACCGGAGCTGCCGTGGCGTCGCTCTCGCTCGTCATCAGCATATACATGAGACCCGAGGAGGAATTCCGTACGAGATACAGGCTGATCATGAAAGAGATGGTGAGTCATCCGTGAAATTAAGGAACGAAACATTCTTTTTAACAATAACGTTGCTATGCGTAAATACGATTCCAGTCGATTCTATATTAGATAATTAAATCAATTTAAATTAGCCTTTAGGTATTGTCTGCCATGCGTATCTTTGATATGTACATGAAAGTTTAATTAAGACATAACAATTTTGCGATTTATTTATTTATTTAACTCTTTATTGCACCATAAACAAAAATATACAATGACAATTGAACAATTCAAGTGAAATACAGTAATATAAATACAGTAATGAAATATACACATAAAGGTACAAAAGGCGGTCTTATCGCTAGAGCAATCTCTTACAGACAACCTTTGGTTAAAGGAGAACAGAGAGAAGTGGGCAGGTGGCACAAGAGTGAATTAATAATTTTTCATGCATAAAATACGAAAACCTATAATGCACAAAAATATCAAATACATGTAATTTAAAATACTTACTGTAACAATATATTACATTGTTACGTGACTTTGAATATTTGAAGATATAATCAACATTATTTCAGCTTTTAACTGTTCACTGCTGCTCATACGGGGAGTTTTGCCAGTAGTTGCCACGCTTGGCAACAGCACTTAGGCTTTTAGAGATGTTTTAAGAGGGACGCTGCTGACCATCTCAATGGTGGCATTAAGTTCCTTTAGTCGCCTCTTACGACAGCCACAGAAAAGGATAATTACAATACGACCTTACAATACGACCTGTGAAACTCAAACCTGAGGCTTTTTAGAAAATTTTGTTTCTTCGATTGATCCGTTTGAAAAGTTTATCCATTTACTTATAGCCTCTAATTTCATCATTATATCAGACATTAATTTTTCACTGTTGAACATAAGGCTTCTCTCCATAAGGCGAGTTTTGCCAATAGTTCCTACGTTTTGTATAGCTACTATATCACGAATTTATTACGTGTCTACCACTGCTTTAGTTACAAGCAGTATAAATATTTCCTCTTAGTCGTAGAATACTGACGGATCTGACAAAGATTACATATATAGATGACGATTTGTGTTCAGAAAACAACAAATGTTCCACTCCGTCTTCGTGAGAAAGTGGAAACTTTCTACAAAATGTACTGGCACAAGCAGCGAGCGGTGTCAGCTACGCAGCTACTGCCGACCTACCCTCCCACACTGTCCACCACCATATACGCAGATATATACTTCGAGGCCACACAGAAGGTAACATTTGGGTGATTTTCGGCAAGTGCGATTTCTGCTTAATTTCGGTGATTTTTTTTGGTCTCGAGAGTTCAGTAACGTTAATGTCCCCAGAAAGCATTTTATAAAATGCTTCTTTGTATATTTCGTGGACATTTGTTTCTTGGGAAATCGAATTTCAAAGCACAGTTGAAATGTTCATCGAAGTTGGAAAGGGGACGCATATGTTAAAAATCACCTGTTTAAATTTGATTGAAAACAAAATATTGAGTATGTGCCAATATACTTCGCATCTTGAGGGTTCTTAGTAGACGATAGTGGAATAGCAATCCCGCCTATGCTATTGGTATACGCTGGAGAGATACTAATGAGTGAGTTGATAGGTGAGAATGAAACCAGGTCTAGAATATTTTATCTTTTCAGAGCCGCATTTTATGCGACCTCTCATATGAGTTCCTGTCCGAGGTGGCCAAGAAAATGAGTACAATACACTACATTCCTGGGGATGCTATCATCAAGAGGTTGTCCACAAAGTCCTCCATTATCTATATTACTTATGGTGATATTGAAGTAAGTATTCTATTTATTATATAGTTAAATATAGTAGCAATCGAGCATATAGTCTGCTTGTTGCCATCATAGCCCAATAAATCATTCAACGCACGACTCAACCACAAAACTGCCTCTTTGGCTACAGAAAAAAGGGAATAAGACAAATTATGGGATACCGAAAATTAATTATTTTATTCGGAACAACAAACGTGGAGCTCGACGCAAACTAATCTTGGCTTGAAACATAGATGTCACAGATATTACGTCATGCACTCCTTAGTGTTATATTTTCTTGGGATTAAAGATAGTGTGTAGGATAATACATTTTCTTTTGGAGATTCTGCTAAATTTCTTCCGGGTTTTGTTTAACAGATAACAACATTTAGATTTTTTTTTATTCAACTTATAATAATGGCAAACAAGCTGACGGCCCACCTGATGGCAAGTGGTAACCGTCGCCTATAAACATGAGCAGTACCATGGACATAACAGAGTATACCCTTTCGTCCATGATCCCCCCATGCGTTGCTATTCCTGAGGACTCAGGTGTTTATTCCTCTGTACCCAGTAAATTCACTGCCATATCCCACCCTTCAAACTGAAACACAACCATGCAAACACCACTGCTTCACGGTAGAAACACGAATGCGACAGAGGTGTTTCGGTTTCAAGGGTAGGATAGGCGTGAATTTACTGGGTACAGAGGAATAACACCCGAGTCCTCAGGAATGGCATGGGGGGTATCATGGGCGAAACAGTATACTCTGTTATGTCCATGGTACTGCTCATGTCTATAGGCGACGGAAAGTTCGTATAAAGTGTTCTGGAATGCGAGAAAGAGGAGTGGGGAGGCCAGGTCAGGACCCCTTGTTTGCCTAACAATGCTTCAGTTCTGGATGAAAAAAATGATGATGATGTGTCAGATGCTAACAGCGGAGGACAATAGCACGGCTATCCTGCGTATGACCCGCGGGACGATAGTGAGTCCGGTGGCGGGTGCGGTGGCGGCCGGCTGCGGGCCCGCGCACGTGGAAATCAGGGCGGCGACATTCTGCGCGGCGCACGTGCTCGCCGCCGCCGACCTGTGGCGGCTCGCGCTCAAGTACGCCACTGGCGCCGACCACACACGACTCATACTAGCCGCCTTCTACGTTAGTAATCACCGCTTTTTTACCTTACATTATATAGGTATAAGGCTGCACATTCGTGTGGATTTGGCCCCGTGTGATTTTCTCGGGGGCGGTTTGAATGAGATAAAAAAAGTACGACGGGGCAGCTGGAAACCGTACAACCAGAGGACTTTCAGGAGTTTTGGAAAAGTTGGACACTTTTGTTATCACTTTGAAGGGGATAAAATTGATTTTTTTTTTATATTTTTAAAAGACGATCAATTGAAATAAATCTTAGTTACCAAATTCATCCACCGTAACTGTGTTTTTGTATAAAAATGATTTTTATTCAGATGTAACAGCGGAGGAAATAATTATTTTTTACGAAGTGAGTCCGGTGGCGGGTGCGGTGGAGGGCTGTGGACCACATTTCAGGGCGGCAAATATCCGTGCTCGCCGCCGCCGACTTTGGCGGCTGTGTTTATACGCCACCGGTGTCCGACCACACAATTTAGACGATGGCCGCCTTCTATATAGGGCACGTTTTTACTTACATATATAGATAGAGCATCGAGCCTCAAAAACGGGTCAACTTTTTGTCAGCTAATTGTCAATTTAGCTGACTCGTTTTTTTTTTATTATTTTCTATATACTTAGGTACACACACAATGTATCTTGACGTATTTATATTTAATTATTTAAAAAATAAAATGAGTATTTACTTGAATAGCACCTGATTAAAATGGTATCATGGGCGAAAGGAATCTTGTTTGTCATTCTAAGTTGTATAAAAAAAAAAAATATGGGAATTAAAAAGACAGAATTTATGAGACAAAATAAATATAGAAGTCATAAAGGAATCACTCATAACTATTTATCACGCAAAATTGTATGAAAAATTAGACCCAATTTTCTCGAAGCATTTGTGTGGAGACATTCTATTTATATTATCTAAGGTTTTTACCGTTTGATCTTAAGAGATCTGTAAAAATATTTCAATTTCCCTTTTTTTGTCCAGGAACATTTTGAACGAGTTAAGAGACATTACTATCAGAAAACTCCTGAAGAAGTCAAGTGAGATTTTTTATTTTTTACATATTTATATAGTTTTAATTATGTATATTGAAATAATTTTAATATTACAATTAATCCAATGAATGGCCACAACAGAATGTCAGCGTTTTGCTTTTTTAAGGGTAAAACAATAAACCATTTTGTGTTACTGTGGCACATTCACGAAATGGAAAATTGTTACTTTTATATGTTTTTTTTTTCGTTTTTTTTCTTTTGTATATGTATTATTTTATTTCTCATTGCGTATCTATCTTTTTTTATACAACTTAGATGGCAAACAAGCTGACGACCTACCGGATGGAAAGTGGTAACTGTCGCCTATATCTATGACTGTTCTTATGTGTGTGCTGTATGTAATACATATAAATTATTCATCAATCTAATTCTGGATAGTAAACAGTCTCCGTTATTTTACTTATGTAAATCATTACTACAGTAATGGTTTTTTTTTAATGAATGATAATGGATTGGTAACCCCGCCCGCGCTATCGGTATACACCGACGAGGCACCAGTGAAAGATGATAGGTGACAATGAATGCAGGTTAGTTGGCCCACTATGATGAATTCGACAAGAATTAAACATGATGGTTTCCAGGAGGAACCGCGTGGAGGTCAATCTGAGAAGATATATTGCCAGTAATGGGGCTATTAGACTCCATTACTAACAATCCCTTTCCCCCAGTAATAGGTATTAGATCACACCAGGTTGATTTTGACAAAATCAACACTCTAAATGCCAAACCAAAAAAAAAAAGAACTAAGGTATTTAATATTTTATTAAAATTATTAGAACATGCTACGCACATCAAATTTAACACCAAATTTCTTAATGTTTCTAATTGTTTTCAATATATTTTTTTTTAAATTTAATGAATAAAAGATACAATAACTACATACAGTATACGCTGCCGGGACACCAGTGAGAGGTCTTAGGTGAGAATGAAACAGGAAGGTCAGTTAGCCCAACGTAACGAATACAGCTGGAATTCAGAAGGGATTGTTACTAACGGGACTGGTAGTCCACTATTTTTTCGGTTATGGTCTCAAGCAGTAAATATTTCAATAAATGGCACGTAATCGGCGAGATCCTTTCCATTAAATATCTTTATTTCAATGAGCGGGAGCTTCGCGACAAATGTAGTTATTGAATGAAGAGTTTTTATGATGGTGTGGTGATTTAATGTAGTACACAACTTAAATAGTAGTACATTATGTCCACATTGATGACGCTGTATTTTTATAATCATCCTCTTATTTAAACATTGTAGACACAAGAGCAGTATCCTTCACTTCAAGCGTAACCTGCTGGCGTTGAAAGAAGCCAAAGACGTCAACGGCAACCCGCTGCTCCCTAGAGCGGATTTTTTCTTAGAAATTGCTGGTTGCTACATCATGAGAAATGTTAGTTTACTTTTGGCTTTGTTGCTAAACTAGAGGGAGACTTTGTACAAAAGTCGATTGCTTGGGTACTTTTGTCCTATTCGTGTTTCTACCGTGAAGCAGTTGCGTTTGCATGGCTGTGTTTCGGTTTGAAGGGTGGGATATGGCGTGAATTTACTGGGTACAGAGGAATAACACCTGAGTCCTCAAGAATGGCAACACATGGGAAGTATCATGGGCGAAACAGTATACTCTGTTATGTCCATGGTACTGCTCATGTCTATAGGCGACGGTTACCACTTTCCATCAGGTAGGCCGTCAGCTTGTTTGCCATTCTAAGTTGTATAAAAAAAAACTATAGAAAAAATAACAATTCTATTAATATTCCGGAATAAACAAGCTGCTGTTTGTTTACTTTTTGTATGCAAACAGCAGCCAGCTTTTTAGCATACTGATACCTAAATATAAAACTGCATTGTAAAATAATAAATAATTATATGAATATTGAGACTAAATTGGTTCTCTTTGTGAGTCGATGTCAAAGGAAATAGATTTAACAAAACATATTTACTCTCCGGTATAGAGTTTTACTTCACTTTCTCGTCTTCTTGAGCTTGTATATACTGACTAGTTTATACTTAGTTGTCTTTTAAGAACGCATTATACGTAATTTCCAAACCGCTGGAAAAAAGAAACCCTTCTGTACACCAAACTTGCGTGAAGTCCTACTTCGTTTTTCGCTTACCACTTCATGTTTCCTTGTATTTATAATACAATATTCAAAAATGTAATATCATCCAATGTTCAGTATAAGAAGTTAAAAAATTAAAAATACGTAATTGGCTGCAATCTCTAACTTATACGCATACAGAGGATCTGATAAAACCTATTGTCTGAAATATTCATCGAAATGCAAAAATACTGTAGTTTCATACCACACACACACACACACACACACACACGTACGTACGCACGCACGCACGCACGCACGCACGCACGCACGCACGCACGCACGCACGCACGCACGCATGCACGCACGCACGCACGCACGTACAATCTGTTATAAATTATTATATATATATATATATATATATATATATATCTATATTAAAATTATAACTATCCAGTCACTGCAACAGGAATATCAAATTAATAAAAGTGTATATTATATATTTTAATAGGTTCCCCAGATACAGGCTCGACACATATAGGGGCCATAGTTAAGCAATTCTGTAACTTTTTTTTAATAAAGGTTATAGATTAAGAGTATACATGTGTGCAGAGACCAGACGCGGCTTTGAACCAGGAGACGGATGCCATTTGCTTACGCTCAACGTTCCCATGCATCCTGCAGCCGGAGTCCTCGCTGCAGATCGCGTGGCAGTCCTTTGTTTCGGCTATAATACTGGTTGTGAGCATTGTAAGTGCATAGCTCTTTTACTGTTTGTTCGCTATTTGTTGTCCTTGCGAAATTTATAACATAGCTGATATTTTTGGATTGCTTTTTTACAATTCAAAAGATGTCGTCTTTGTTCTAAACTTCACACGAAATCACAATTCTACGTATGTGTTATTGAAACTTATCGAAAGATCTTGTTTTTAATTTAATTTTTTTTATAAATAATAGCAAGGCACCGCGGTTTTGTTATTGTTAATTAGATTAAAACAATTCTATATGCTAATCCGTATGGTCCCGGTATAGAATTATCCATTCCCTCCAATCTCGTAGGTGTTGTATGAGGCAACTAAGAGAACTTAATGGTCCAGGAATGGGCAGCAGCGTCCCTCTTAAAATATCACCAAGGCCTAACTGCGATTGCCAACCTACCTGCCAGCTGCCTACCTGGCAACTACTAGCAAAATCCTCTAATGGGTGAAGCCTAGTCCAGCAGTGGACAGTTAACGGCTGCTTCGATGGTGATGATGATATATGCTACTCCAGGTCAATCCATAGTCAATCTCTATATACAAATTCGTCAAATTATTTCTGTGAAACTGCGTAATAAACATTAAAACAGCTTTACAATAATCATACTTATCTATACGTCAGGAATGTTTCTGTTGAAGATACGGATTTAGAGTTAGTCACAGCGTACATTTTTAGGCTGCTCCATGACAAAATTATTTATCACAAAACCTACTAATCTTTCGGGTACGACTTCACCACCCAGGTGCACCCGTACTACTTGGTCTACACGAGCACCGTGCCACTCGAATTCAGGTTCTTCGACTACGTAGTGACAGTGGTTTACGCACTGGACCTGATCGCGTACCTGTCCACCGGCGCCAATGTCGAAGAAGGTCAGGTCATTCGTGACGTCCTCCACTCAATATTTCATAATTCCTTCTAAGTAGAATGGGATAGCTATAGATTGGCTACATCAACTTTAATGTCTTAAAAGAATAGTCTACAAGTCAAATTGAATCTTTTTCCCAAAGAAATATGGGTCGAAATACGACAAAAAAATTTAAGCCTCTCATTCTAACACCAGCTGTTAAGTTTGCTTACCTAAATGAGTAGTAAATGCCACTCATTTTTTTTTTTATACTACTTAGAATGGCAAACAAGCTGACGGCCCACTTGATGGAGAATGGTAACCGTTGCCTATACACATGAGCAGTACCATGGATATAACAGAGTATACTGTTTCGCCCATGATACCCCCCATGCGTTGCCATTCCTGAGGACTCAGGTGTTATTCCTCTGTACCCAGTAAATTCCATATCCCACCCTTCAAACCGAAACACAGCCATGCAAACACAACTGCTTCACGGTTGAAACACGAACGGGACAGGGGTACCTAAGCAATCGACTTTTGTAAAAAGTCTTCTTCTGGTATTTATTCTGTATAGACACTAGCTATGCTCATTTAAAGATCCGCTGGATCATACATTAGCCACATCATTAAAACGCTCTCCCTTACCCACATGTTCCCTCTTTCCTGCAATATCCAGGTATTCCAACGGGACGTGAACAGGTATATTTCTGGGATGAATCTTCTTTTTTAGACCACACTATCCATTTACCAACAGATGAGGTGTGGTTATTTTGATCAGCTATTTAAAAAAATCATTCTCCAGGTGTACCGATATCGTTCGCGCAGACGTCCTCACAGCAGATGCGCAGCCACTGGTTCGTGCTGGACGTGCTCAGCACTCTGCCTATTTTCGAGTTCATCGGGGAAGGGCACTTTGCCGGCATCAACAAACTGCTCAGGTTGCCTAAGGTACAAATGAGGTTCCCGGACGACTTCAAGCGGGTTTACCGCGGGTCTGGCAACAGACGGTTGAGGAACAGCGGGGGGGGGGGGGGGGTTAGCCGGTTAAATACTGTGTATCACCCTTGGTTTATGCGCTGTCATTCTCGAGGACAATGGTATTATGGTTTTATACACGGTAATTTTACCGCCATCTTTGCCATGTGATGACTGATACCGTAGAATAGCATTTTAAATATAAAACTGTAGTATAAGTACTCCATATTTTTTTCTTATACCACAAAATTGGCAAACAAGTATGCAGTTCGTCTGATGGTAAACGGTAACTGTAGCCTATGGACGCCTGCAATACTAGGGGTGTCACGTGCGCGTTACCAACCCTGATTTAATATTAATACAACCTTTTTAAAGAATTCTGTACTGTATTATAAATTTAAACAATTGTAAACATTTGACCTGAATAGTTTTACAAAACTATATTTTTAATATACAGGGTGAAGTCGAAATGGTTAGCTGTAATTATTATATATTACTACTCGTGCTATAGAATAGAACAGAAATTTTGTAAATTAAATACATAGATAGATAGATATATAATTTATTTGCATCACTTACAGCACACAAATAACATTAGCTACTGGTATATATTTAAAGAAATAAAACAAAACATATACAAAAAGAAAGTACATAAAAGAGGTTATACCAGGGGGAGACTTTATACAAAAGTCGATTGCTTGGGTACCTCTGTCCCATTCGTGTTTCAACCGTGAAGCAGTTCTGTTTGCATGGCTGTGTTTCGGTTTGAAGGGTGGGATATGGCGTGAATTTACTGGGTACAGAGGAATACCACCTGAGTCCGGGGGGAAAGGGGTTGTTAGCAATAGAGTTTAACAGCCCCATTGCTAGCAATATGCCCTATCAGGTCGAATTCGTCACGATGGGCTAACTGGCCTGCTTCATCCTCACCTATCATCTTTCACTGGTGCCCCGCCGGTGTATATCGATAGCGCGGGTGAGGTTACCATTCCATTATCACCCATAAAAAAAAACACCTGAATCCTCAGGAATGGCATCGCATGGGTGGTATCATGGGCGAAACAGTATACTCTGTTATGTCCATGGTACTGCTTATGTCTATAGGCGACGGTTACCGCTTTCCAACAGGTGCGCCGTCAGCTTGTTTGTATTCTAAGTTGTATAAAAAAAAATCATTTTTCGTGAGTGCGCTACAGTAACTGGTAAAATGGTTAACAACTCAGTCTATTGCTTTGTTAATGTTTAATTAATGTTTACTTCGCATAGCCTGAAATTTTTCCATGTTTCCAAAACTGAAATGTCAGTGTATAGGAATGAAAAAGGAATGGACTCTAACTTACCCGCGTTATCGGTATACACCGGCGGGGCACCAGTGAACGATGATAGATGAGTATGAAGTAGATCAGTTAGCCCATCGTGACGAATCCAACAAGAATTGTTCACGATGGTTTCCAGGGGGAACCACGTGGAGGTCGACCTAATAAGGCATACTGCTACCAATGGGGCTGTCAAACTCCATTGCTAACAATCCCTTTCCCCCCAATTGGACGCGTTGTGTTAGATTAGGTGGCTTGAAATCTTTAGTCATATTTCAATTTATGTTTTTATTGATTACTATTCTTGATGGTAGATACGCTCTACGCTATAGAGTTCAATTTCACCCTAAAGGTGATGTGCAGAGGAATAAACGGTGATCATAGCTAGTTAAAAAAAAAATAACTGTCCGCCGGCGCCAGGTGTTCCGCGTGCTGAAGTCCATGGAGGAGTTGTGCGTGTACCAGAGCAACGGGATCCGGTTCTTGTCGTACACGCTGCTGCTGCTCGTCGCGTGCTACCTCATCGCCGCCCTGCAGCAGGCCTTCATGTGCTTTCAGTTAGTTTGCTCACTAAAATTACAGGCATAGACGTACATATGTGGTCCGGTGGGACCAGGTAGCCCGTGAATGAATTTTGGCCTACACTATTTGCGACGAAGAATATAGATTATTTATAACACTGTTATTATAGTCATTACACTGTTGTGCTCATGTGAAATGATTCCTGAAGACGAAGATTGACTTTGTACAAATGTCGATTGCTTGGGTACCTCTGTCCCATTCGTGTTTCTACCGTGAAGCAGTTGTGTTTGCATGGCTGTGTTTCGGTTTGAAGGGTGGGATATAGCGTGAAATTACAGGGTACAGAGGAATAACACCTGAGTCCTCAAGGATGGCAACGCATGGGGGGTATCATGGGCGAAACAGTATACTCTGTTATGTCCATGGCACTGCTCATATCTATAGGCGACGGTTACCATTTTCCATCAGGTGGGCCGTTAGCTTGTTTGCCATTCTAAGTTGTATAAAAAAAAATCTTCGTACCCTGGAATTTTATTGCTCTTTCTCGCTCTTGAAGGGCCGGCAGTCTAATGTTGTGGATGGACGGCGGTAGCCACTTATCATCAAGTAAGCCGCATGCTCGTTTGCCGTGTAGGTACATCAAAATACTACCATGCAAAAAAAGTTGTTGACAGAAACATGTATGAGAAAATGATAAGGTGGATTTAGGCTTAGCAAACCCTCGCTCTTTCAATATTCCTTCAATTTTATATAAAGTCCTCCTCTGGTTTTCTTTTTTTTTTATACCACTGAGGTGGCAAACAAGCATACGGCCCATCTGATGGTAACTGGTTACCGTAGCCTATGAACACCTGCAATACCAGAGGCATTACGCGCGCGTTGCCGACCCTGAAGAAACCTCTTTACCCCCCTTTTGAAGAACCCCATGCTGTAGTGTCTTGGGAAATTGTAAGTATATAAATTACATAAAATTTAGTATGGAATTGGCGTAGCATTTGGCGTTCCATTGTTTCTGCCTACCCTAATGGGAGACAGGCGTGACAGATATGTACTCGTATGTATGTATTAGTATGGAATTCCCGGTGCTGGTTAAATCTATAGGTTAGGTATTACTGTTCATTATCAGATTTGTCGTCAGCATGTTTACTATTCTACAAGTAAGTAAGATAAAAATACTAATTACAGATTCGGTTACTGCCTTGTGACGAACTTCACTCACTCCCCATATTGGTCTCACGAGCCGCTGGACGGAGCCGCGGTCGAGGACAGGCTCACGTTCGGACTCTACTGGGCTATATCCATGATTACTTTCACTTGTTTGTATTTACTATTAAATAATATTTATATATTTTGTAAGTTGTAGACAATAATGGCAGAATAATTCGTTCAAATGTCGATTTAGTAAAAAGAATAGAAAGGGAAACTGTAGTCATGCAAATATTGCATCTAAATAGTGACGAGGAAGTAAAAATTAATATGCTACAACTCTTTTTCAACTCTTTTTGCCGTGTGCTCCCGACATAGAATAGGTCAGCCTTCCTTTCCCATGTGTGTCATAAGAGGCAACTAAGGGAGTGCGAGGGATGGGTAGCAGCGTCCCTCTTTAAAGCCTAAATGCGGTTGCCAATCCGCCTGCCCAGCGTGACTACTGGCAAAATCTGCCTAGGGGGAGGCTAGGGGGTGAATGTTATGGACATAACAAAGTATATTGTTTCGCCCATAATACCCCTCATGCGTTGCCATTCCTAAGGACTCAGATGTTATTCCTCTGTAGCCAGTAAGTTCACGCCATATCCCACCCTTCAAACCGAAACACAGCCATGCAAACACAACTGCTTCACGGTTGAAATACGAATGGGACAGAGGTACCCAAGCAATCGACTTTTGTACAGAGTCTCCTTTTGTTCAGCAGTGGACGGTTAAAGACTGATATGAATGAATGAAGAATGCCATCAGAAATTAAATCCGCCCTGTAGACATATTGTAATGTGTGCAAAAGTACAAATAAATAAAAATAAATAAATAAATTAATTATTTTTTAAGTCCACGATATCGCAGCTGGCAAAGCTAAAGAACAAAGCAAAAATATACTGGTACAGAAAACGGAAATCTTGAAATTAAACACTGATATCAAACTCCTTGATCAGCATGCTAGCTTGTAGGCTAATAACCTCACTTATGGAGACAGATCCGTGTTCTGCTGTAAGTCGTTAAAGAGTTGCACTCTCACATTACACCAAAAACCATCAACGTGGCTGGGTAACAAGCAACAATTGGCTACTTTTCCATTCTTCTGCAGGCCACCTAGAAATGTGGGGCCTCACCAAGTGGGATAACGTACTATACACCATGTTTGTGCTAGAGGTGTGCATTGTGCTGCACATATTCATCGAAGCTGCGTACTCTGCTACTATCGTGGTTACCACGGCGTTAAGGTATCTTTTTTGTACAAACATACATTCCACCTGATGGCAAATGTTGATGAGTATCTGCAATGCCAAAGCATAGGACATACCAAACCACGTAAGTTGTGTGTGTTCCCAGTCATTGTATATACTTTCTTACCCTTCAAACTGTAACATATACATATAGGGGGAAAGGGATTGATAGTAATGGAGACTGAGAATCCCATTGCTAGCAATATACCCAGGTCGACCTCTTCGCGGTTCCCCCTGAAAACTATCATGGTTAATACCAGATGAATTCATCATGATGGGCTAATTGACCTGTTTTCATTCTCATCTATCACCCTTCACTGGTGCTCCGCCAGCGTATCCCGTTAGCGCAGGCGGGGTTATTACCATACCATTTTCAATCAATAGATGATAAAGTACTCATGCAGGCTATTAGAAGTCTCAGTAATGCAGATAGGCAACCTTTTCAATAATGACAGAAATTTCTAGAAATCTCCATTTCATGTACTTCTGCCGTTTTCTTTTGTCTCATGTGACAGCAATGTACAAGTGATTCCTCTAGAATTGCCATTTTTCATGGTGTGGTCAATATGGTGGCTTACCAAGAGGCAGACAATACATATATGTTACATGTTCGTAGTAGGTAAAAAAATACGATTGACATATTTCAGAGAAGATTACGACTCAAGCATTGGAATGGTAAAGGACTTTCTGATAAGGAACCACGTAGACCCCGTGATAAGGCAACGCTTCATCACGTATCTGCAGCTATGCTGGTACACAGATAAGGTAAAGAAAATCTGATTGAAGCTCTGACACGAACTTTTAGCCAAGAAGTAGAAAAAATTGCACTCATATTCTTTCTATAATGTTCTTATCAGCTTGCTTAGCATTCAAGCTATATCCTTGCTTCTGAGTAGCACTAAAATTCCAAATATAGGTTTTGCTATTATATGAACAATGTATCCTTATAATTTAGCTGAGAATCATTTGTAGGTGCTTCAAAGCATCACATGTACTGAAATAATGTGACGTACGACGAATGTCTTGAAATTCGCACAAGAAAGAGAAAGAATTGATTAATTAATTATTTTGAATCGAAGCATTTGGCGTTCCATTGTTTATGCCTACCCTAATGGGAGACAGGCGTGACAGATATGTATGTATGTATGTATGTAAAGAGAAATAACAGACTCGCATAGTCGAAGGCCACAATCACATAATGATGAACAACTTGATTGGCGGTTGAGCATAACTTGAATATTTGCAACTTGCAGGCCTATTCGTTGTCGAATAAGAAAACGTCCATCTTCTACGATTTGCCCCCGCACGTGTATCAAGATATAGTGGCCAGTCAGCGCAGCAAGTACCTACTGACTGTTCCCTTCATCAAGGTTGTCGGATTTATTTTCTGTGTTTATATTTCACTTGATCTCCATCGTGGACTTATCTCCGAGTGGTGAAGGAGCAAATATACAACGTGTTACCACACCTTTTTAACTCTAGAACTTTTCAAGAGGCGACTAAGAGAACAAGAGCAAAGGTCCTCTAGACAGAATGAGATAGCAATGTCGTATCTCTCATTCAAATTCGTATATCGAAAGATAGGAAAGAAAGAGATCGATTATTTCGTTATACGAATAATTCGTATTTGTATATCGAAAGAACGATTCGAATCGTTCATTCGATAATGATTCTATCGGTGGATTCACTTGCCAATAAGGACGTGACTGTGGAACTACGACTTTTAATATCGTACATACATAGGATATTTCGTATCCACTCGTATTCGGGGGGTCTACCATGAAATGAAATTCCGAATTTTCGAGCTCAATTTCGTGTTATTACGTTCGTACTGAAATCGGCTCAGTAAATGGTGCTTAACATTTTGTTCATAATAAATCCTACTATAATAGTTCAGAAGAACGATATTTTAAGATATTTAATAATTTTAAACAGTATTTACTATGTAATTTTAACATCAAATTTCTGTTTCGTTCGTGTCCGAAATTTCGAAAAATGTTTCATGGTAGGCCCTCTGATTCACGTTAGCGATGTCGTGGGCTTAACTAAATAAGATGAGAGAGCTACTAATAGGTGTTTGTATGTTTGTTACTCTTTAACACTACTCATGCGTGGGTGTTGACATTTGGCGTCAAAGAATTTCTAGGACGCCTTCGTTAAACGCTAAAAATCCCTTATTAGTTGCTGGGAAATGAGGATTTGAAGCATGTGTCGTCTGCGGCGCGTTTGTTCTACACGTCGCCGAACGAGGTGCTGCTCAACACCGGCGACATCAGCTACGAAATGTATGTCATCAAGCAGGGCATCTGTGAGGTCAGCACTAGTCTCTTGAATCGCCAGCATATACCGACAGCGCAGGAGGAACTACCATTCCATTGTCACCCATTAAAAATGAAGTCTCTTGGATTATTATAGTCGTTATGTGTGTTTGTTTTGTCTCTTCCTCTGTCATAAAATTTAATCAACTACTTGTCGGTTGCACTGTTTAATTTCCGATTTCCTTCATGAGCCTGGGCCCATAACCTGTTGAAGGCGATTCCATTTTTATCTTGCTAAATGCGAAAGTTTGTAAAGCTGCTCGGTTGTTTGTTATTTAATTATTCTTTAACGGCAGAAAAGATTTAAATGTAACTTGGTATATGGATAGACTATAACTTTTCTTTAAACACAGAATACTTTTCATGCGAGCAAAGCCGCGGGAAAGATTTAGTAGTATTATATTATTAATAAAGTAAAACTGACGTAAGTGTAGTAATGACTAGTGACACGTCCTGACTTCGCACGGGTAGATAGAATATTATTTTCGAAAATTATATACATATAGCCTATGTTGTTCGTTAATATTATAGTTTTCTATAGATGAAAGAATTTTTAAAATTGCTTGAGTTTATCCGTTACAAACAAACAAACAAACAATCAAATCTTTCCTCTTTATAATATTGCTATAAATAGTTTAAATAGCTTATGTTTAAATTTAAATACTTATAAAAATAAAGTACTATAAAACAACAGATGTTTATGTTATTAAAACAATAAAAACTTTTTGTGTTTCGTTTTAATTTCTAGATTTTCAACCCTTACACAAGAAATTCAGTTGGTTTTCTCGGTCCAAAAACCCATTTCGGTGTCCTCGAATGCCTGCTACGTGAGTAAATATTTTTTTTTTATACCACAAAGGTGACAAACAAGCAAACAGCTCATCTAATGATAAACGGATGTAAAGTAAATTAAAAAAAAAAAACTTTTTAATAATGAGAGTATCTGCATTACGTTTCAATCACTTGTATATTTAATTGAACTCATCATATCAGCCTTTAGATGCCCACTGCTGAACATAAGCCCTTTGGGGCTGAACATAAGCCCCTTGGGGAAACTATTTTTACTTCGATGGAAGCCCATAAGCCCCTTGGGGAAACTATTTTTACTTCGATGGAAGCCCCTTGGGGAAACTATTTTTACTTCGATGGAAGCCCATAAGCCCCTTGGGGAAACTATTTTTACTTCAATGGAAGCCCATAAGCCCCTTGGGGAAAGTATTTTTACTTCGATGGAAAAAATTACATGCATTACTCATGATACCTATTTGCAGGGCCGTAGCTAGACCCATGTTTAAGGTAGGGCAGAAGCCATAAATAAGTAACTTCGTAAAAGCGAATCTGTTTAATTTTCTAGGGGCTTTCATTTTAAGGTAGGGTATTGCCTCTCAATGCCTCCCCCTCCTCATAGCTACAGCGATGCCTATCTGTTATTTAATTTTTTATTGAAATGTTGGACTTTTTTATATGTTCATTTTTAGTTTTAGTTGGAACTTTCTAATTGCAAATATTTTACAGCGTAGACATTTTTTCCAGAGGGAGACTTTGTACAAAAGTCGATTGCTTGGGTACCTCTGTTCCATTCGTGTTTCAACCGTGAAGCAGTTGTGTTTTCATGGCTGTGTTTCGGTTTGAAGGGTGGGATATGGCGTGAAATTACTGGGTACAGAGGAATAACACCTGAGTCCTCAGGAATGGCAACACACGGGGGGTATCATGGGCGAAATAGTATACTCTGTTATGTCCATGGTACTGCTCATGTCTATAGACGACGGTTACCACTTTCCATCAGGTGTTCCGTCAGCTTGTTTGCCATTCTAAGTTGTATAGAAAAAAAAGACAAGTCTAAATAGAAGAATGCATTTAATACAAGAAGGAAAATTGTGTTTATTTTTGTATAGTTTTGCGATATCTTAGTCAAATTGGAAACTGAGTTTAATGATTATTTTTGAAGAAAAGCAAGGACTATTGTTTTTTACCCATGTCAATTTTGTAACTTTTACAATTTACCTCGTTTTTTAAGGCTATTTATTATTATTAATATACATAGGTTTGCCTGCTTACTACACAATCCGTGCGGTGACTCATGTCCAAGTGTTCTCTATATCGCGGAAAGTGCTCTCCCATGTCACCGACCTGCCGCAGATTAAGGATGCTATCGAGTTCGCTAAGACTCAGCCGGTAATATTCGATAATTCTAGAATCCGTCTACTTTTGCACGCATAAAAATAACAAATGCATAAGAGGGAAAAGCTAATGAATAAATAAAAAGATAAATCATTTCAAAAGATAGATGAATGAATCAGTATATTTTTTATTTACATTATATACAATAAACAAAACAGGACAATGACCGTAGCTAGGAAGGGGGCGGGGAAGGATTGAGGGGCAGTGCCCTACCTTAAAATGATATGCCCCAAGAAAATTAGATAGATTCGCTTTTTCGAAGTGACTTAGTTGTGGCTTCTACATTACCAAAAAGTTCTTTTGCCCTACCTTCAATTTGGGTTTAGCTACGGCCCTGAGCAGGACAATTAATAAATATAACGATACAGTTGTATATGTACAGTAAGGCGGTCTTATTGCTGAGAGCAATCTTTTTAATGGTAATGGATTAATTAGTCTAAAGGTTGCAGTTAACTGATTGTATAATTGTACAATTTTTAATTTTAAATGACTAATTTCGAAAAACAAATTTGTGCTTAGCATTGGTGTAATTAAAATTATTTGCTAAGGCCTTGACCCCTCAAAAAGATACATAATGTACTCTCAGACGTGTATTTGCGTGTAACTGGAAGCTCCGTTCATATTTTGAGGTGGACACCATATCTCAGATTTTGGGATGGGTACGGCCCATCAATCCATTTTTAAACGAGCCTATAATTCCCAGGTTATTTTTTAAATTAGATTTTTAGAGTTTCATGTACTTATTGTAAATTGCAAGGAGTATACCCGTCTGATGATGCGACGCTTCTCGTTCTTATGCTACGAGCCGCCCAAGCCTACTCCTAACAGGGAACAGTTCCCGCTGCCCAAGAAATACGAGATGGACTATGAATACCTGCATCCCTTCAGAAGACTTGGCTTTTTATCCATATTGAGGTACATTTTTCTGTATAATTTTTTTTTAAATAATACAGGGGAGGGGGTTGTTAGCAATGCGGACTACCAGTCCCATTGCTAGCAATATATCCTATTAGGTTGATCTCCACGTGGTCCCTCCCGGAAACCATCGTGTCCAATTTCAGGTATATCATCATGATGATCTACCTTTTCATTCTTACCTATCACCCCTCACTGGCACCCCGTCAGTATATACCGATACCGCAGACGGAGTTACCAGTCCATTATCATCCATAAAAAAAAGACTAACAATATTAGCACAAAACGAGAAAAATAGATGAAATCGATTTCTGTTCTATTGTACTACTGCGGATATTGTGCGTCGGAACTCTTTAAGTAGCTTCATGGTGAAATTCACAGTTTCATATTTATAAACTTTGTTAGTATAATATGTGTACCATCAAACATCATGATGCATACGTTAGGATCTCTAAATCAAAGAGAGTCAGAGAAAGTGTCCAAAAACATTAAACCTTACCAGAAGGAGACTTTGTACAAAAGTCGATTGCTTGGCTACCTCTGTCCCATTCGTGTTTCAACCGTGAAGCAGTTGTGTTTGCATGGCTGTGTTTCGGTTTGAAGGGTGGGATATGGCGTGAATTTACTGGGTACAGAGGAATAACACCTGAGTCCTCAGGAATGGCAACGCATGGAGGGTATCATGGGCGAAACAGTATACTCTGTTATGTCCATGGTACTGCTCATGTCTATAGGCGACGGTTATCACTTTCCATCAGGTGGGCCGTCGGCTTGTTTGCCATTCTAAGTTGTATAAAAAAAAAAACCTAAAAATGTCTACTGATCTATGTGTAGGTACATCTTCCCCCGGTTCACGATCCGTCCAGATGGCGACTACCTGGTGCGGTACGAATGCCTCCGTGCGGCGTGCGCCTTGGGCTCCGCGATGCTGTTCCCCGGCTATTCGTACCTGGTGCTGCAGTGGCCCGTGCTCTACTTCCTCGCCTGGCTGCTCGATATCTCCGCTTATTTTGATATGTATGTCCTGATATTTTTTTCTTAAGCCAAATAAACAAAATGTATCTAAAATTACCTTCTACTTATTCCGGAACAAAACGTTTTTAACGTATTTTTTTATCTTAAAGACACATTCTGAAGATGAGTTTTTGTAACTGACTCTAATTAAAATCTGTTAGCTCCATGACAATAATCCATCATTTAATCAGCCTTTAACTGTTCCCTCTTCGGGTTTGCCAGAAGTTGTCACGCTTGGCAGGCGGATTGGCAACCGCGGTTAGGCTTTAGGGATGTTTTGAGAGAGACGCTGCTGCCCATTCCTCGCCCTCTCTTAGTCGCCTCTTACGTCATCCACAGGAAAGGATGGTGTGGCCTATTCTATGCCTGGACCATATGGCCAATGATAATAATTAATCAGCTGAAATTCGACCTGCATTATTTTATTGCAAAAATCTTTAATTCTATTATCGAACTAGTTCCATGCCCCATACCATGGTTACAGAAGTTACCCAATATTGCCTTTCTGATGCCAGTACAAGTGCTTTGAAAAATGGATTACAAATTTTGAAAGACAATTGAACGTAGCAAATTAATGCTTGTAAACATAATTTATAAACTCTGTAACATGTTCTAAAATGTCAGTTTTCAGCGCATGCTGGTGGGCTACTTCAACGAGCACGGTATCCTGGTGTTCCACCCGTCGAGCACCGCAGCACATTACTTGAAGGGCGCATTTATCGTGGATCTGATCGTTTGCCTGCCTTTAGAGTATTTGGAGGCGCCAGGAAGGGAATCATTCCGTAAGTCTTATATGTATTTTATTAAGCGTAGTGTTTACGCAATATTATATAATTGAACATGTCTAAATGACATTTTTAATATTCGGTTCAATTAATTATAATTTGTTTCTAATGGGCAGGATCTTATAGTCTATAATCTTAAAAATAGTCCATGATTATTTTCATACCAGAGGGAGACTTTGTACACTACTGTCTCATTCGTGTTTCTACCGTGAAGCAGTTGTGTTTGCATGGAGAGGTGATATAGCGTTAATTTACGGTACAAAATGGAGTCTTTTTTCACATTAGTCCTGTTATGTCCATCTAGTCTAAAAACTTTCCATCAGGTGGGCCGTCAGCTTGTTTGATTTGTTTACAAAAAAAAAAGATTAAATCTCTCTTTCGCGCTTATTTATTTATTTATTATAGGAACACCAACATCATATTGCATTATAACACATATAACAAACATTAAATACAATACAATATTAATGCACGTGCCTATTAAAGGTATTCACAGCATTTGCTTTAACATAACTATACAGTGTGAAATGAAGTAAACAATTTTAAGGAATTAAATAATGTTGGACTACAAATATTTTATTATATTAGTTATAGAAATATACATGTAAGCTGAGTTGTGAGTAATATCAGTAAATACGATTATAAGTGAATTAAATTAACAAATATTTGCTCTTGAGGAAGCAAGCGTTTTTCAGCGATGTAATTCACTAAATTATAAAAATAAAATGCACTTTGATATTGTAGTTGTCAGAGAAATAAATAAATCAGGAAGTGAATTCAGCAATTTTCAGTTTCGTTTACCAAACTATCAAATCCATGTGTGGCCGCGTTTAGACACTATTTGCGTACATACATAGAGATAGTTTAGTTTCTTTGTAATATAAATTCTTATTTAGTTAAAGTTCCAGTTAAAGTATTATTTTTAGTACTTACAGTAGAGCGATCCTCTCTCGTATATGACGTTCTCAAATACGTTCGTTGCATGAAGTCAAGCTCAGTATAACAGTATAAAAAAAACCCTTTCATCGTAGACGACAACTACCGGCTGACGCAAACGCGACAGTTCCTGATGCTGAACCGCCTCCTGCAGCTGTACCGGCTGCCCAGCGCCATGCTCACCCTCTCCGGTTACATCGAGAGGCGGGATATACTGCTCGTGTTAGAGGATTTGACAAACTAATTATGTTTTGAGTTTATATATATATATATATATATATATATATATATATATATATATATATATATATATATATATATATATATATATATATATATATATATATATATATATATCAATACAGGTCTTTAGTATTCGACTTCTCTTTCCTATCCCATAAAGTACATGCCATGGAGATAAAACTTTTACATGCATCCACTCACATGCAAGAGAAGATCTCTCCCACATTATTCTTTTCACTTCTCACTCTCCTCTTATACACACATACACACATATCGTTCACCTAATCCATAACTTATATCACGAAAACTACAACAGACTCTTTTGCATTTTTGGTTCTAAATTTTGCTACTTTTGTTTCAAAATATTTCTTTCACTTACAAATGTAATACAACAATATATGGAAGAAGACACTGACTCCTGAAATATAAAATTTTCATACCCATCTCAGAAGTCAGGGAGTTCATATTTTATTAAAGTAAAAATGGCTACCAATAATGGGTATAACATGATCATTTGCAGTATTAAAGCCATCCCGCTCTTTATGGCCTTGCTGAATGTGCTGACGTGCTTCGTCGTCTACTACTCAGTAGAGATATTCTGTTCTATGGACGACACCGGGTGGCAGATCATACCTCACAAGGACAAGGGTGGCTCCTGGATTGAACTGTTTAGCTCGTCCTGTTAGTTTACCATACCAAATGTTATTTTTAATTTTAAATCTTTTTGTAGCCAATGGTGTTTTATAGTCTGTCTGTGTTTAAAAAAAGAAATCGTATTTTCCATTTATCTATTTGTTTTTCTTTATATTAAATGTCATATCTAAAATCTCTAATATAAAAAAGTGCGTATTTCTACTTATTCATAATTCCTATGTTATTGAAAAACATTTGGAGTTTCTTGCCCTTTATTTTGGCAACTTTCCCAATCGGATTCTTTAATTAATGAGGCAACAAACATGCCAATAAGTGTTTTAATAATTAAAGTCTATAACCTATAAAAAACCGTTTTCTTTTGTAACAAAACCAGTTATTTCGATTTAAAAACTATACTACTTTTTAAAGCGTAAACTCTTCGATTCGATCTCGTTACAGAGATTAGTCAAAAAAGATATTTCTCATCCTTTTCTTATTAATTTAGCCTATGATAATGTAGTACCTAGTTGCTACAGTTTTCAGTTTTATAATTACCGAATGATGTTTTTTCAAATGTTTTCTTTACTGATCGGGCTAATGGCTGCTTCAGTTCGGTTCAACGTGACGGAGACGCCGTGGAACCTGCACCTGGCGTCGTACTTCTGGGTGGTGTTCGAGACCACCACCACCGGCTACAATATCTTCAACCCGAGCAACTTCCACCTCATGCGGGTGTTGTTCGCCGGAATGGTCATTGGTATGTATTAATTACAAGCATAAAGATTGTGCAAGAAATGTAAGATATATATCTGCAAATGCAAGATAAAGTAGGGTCATTTGAAGTTAGTATATATATATATATATACATATCAGCAGCATCCCTTTTAAAAAAATCTCTAAAGCCTAATTGCGGTAGCCAATCCACTTGCCAAACATGGCAACTACTGGCAAAACCCGCCAAGGGAGAGGCTTATGTTCAGCAGTGGACAGTTAAAAGCTGATATGATAATATGTAATGTATAAAACTAATCTACGAAGATACCAGTTACACAAAGGTACTTAGTATGTTTTATAAGGCAACTAGAAGAACTTTATTTTTAAAACTGAATAATAATAGTCTTTAACAATTTTTTTGGACAGTCAGAATGTTTTTTTAATAAAATTTTTTCATCTCTGTATGTTTTTAATTGGAAATTCTACAGTATAGTTTAGACATAGATAAAATTATATTTCTTGTCTGTAGGTTAATCGTAAGCGACGGAAACGGAAGTGACGGTCGTTCTAATATTCCAGTAGTAAAGAAATAAAAAAAAATAGAGCTATAATTGGCAGTAGACATTGATATGTGTGTTGCAGGTGCGATGATAACAACGTACTTCTCTGTGCGCATCATCAGCATCCGCGGGAACGTAAACAAGGCACTGGCCAGCTTCCAGGAGCACATGAAGGATATGCTCGTGTTTATGCGCAGAGAGAATTTAGATCAAGATCTGCAAAAGTATGTTTCTCCAATAAGTATTTAGGCATCTGTCTCAAAATATAGATTCATCATCATCAGCGTATTGATGTTTTGGTTATAAGTATTTCTTTTTTATGCAACTTATAATGGTCAATAAGCCAACTATCCATCGGATGGAAAGTAGTACCCGTTAAAGCTTAAACAGTGCCGGTATTAAGGAAGGAGAGCAATCAGGAGGCGAATGTATTTTGTACTATCGACATTATTACTACAACAAGTGTAACCATGAAATACCGAGTACAATTAACAGAATCCAACATCACTCACATGCAGGGACTACACTAGCTATAATGAGGCACAAAAACACAAATCCAATAAATAATACCTTGTTTGCAAGTCCATGCGTATGACAGTAATTTTCGCGGCAATTGCTCCTGTCAAATACGCAGGGTTGCCATACTATTTTAATAATTTCATCTATAGAATTATTACTACGTCAGAATACTACTACTTCTATAGAATTACTACATTATCTGTGAGTAACATAGACTATAATAAATTATTTTCGAATATTTATTATAGTCTATGAAATTTTTATTTTTTTACAAACCCGCGCGAAGCTGAGCCGGATCACATTTTATAAATCATAATATGTTCGTTTGTAGAGTGGTCCTGGATTACTACGAGTATAACTGGGATAAAATGGGCGGAGTGAATTATAGACAGGTGCTGAAGCTGTGCGATCAAATCACGCTGCGTACCGACACCATCCTTCATATTTATGGGCCAACATTTGCAAAGGTTTTTAGCTTTTTTTTATTCATGGAAAGATTTGATAAACTTAATGCTGTTGTGGCTTAACAATCTGCCTGGGGCGAAGCAAAAAGTAATGTAAACTACTAGTCTACATTAATAAAATAAAAAGTAATAAAATAAATAATAACCCTTTTTTGCATAACGGTGGAAATTTCCATCATAACATTGAATGCCTAAAAATTATATAAAAGAACAAGTTCACTTTAAGTTGATCGTGTCTGGATACCTTTTTAATGTCCATTGCAGAAAAAAGCTGTCAAATTTATTTTTTTGACCATTTTTCCTTCAATTTTGAACATGAATTATATCACCTTCATTTATTTCACCAATAAAAAAAATCATGCAAACTAAAAAAATAACTTTCCAAATCGGTTTAAAATTGGCGTTGTAATAAATATAAAAAAAAAAAACAATCGAATTGAGGACCTCCGTCTTTTTGAACTCAGTAGAAAAATCTAATTATATCTTCGTCATCAGTGTCCGTTCCTAGTGAAATGCGACGTGTCTCTACTGCGTCACCTAGGCCGCGCAGTGCGCAGCGTGTACTTGCTTCGCGACATGCCCGTGGTTGAGCTGCACGACGTCATCGCCGACATGTACTTCGTGGACTACGGCAGCGTCGACGTGCTCGACACCAGCGACGACAACAGTACGCTCTCCAAGCTCACCAGGGGCAGGTACACTTCTTAAAATCATTACAAAACGATGTTTAACCACCATATTCGTTAACGGATTTTGCTGGACTTTGCGTCTCAGGAGACAGTTTACTCTTTTTATTTTATTTTTTTATACTACTTAGAATGGCAAGCAACCTGACGGCCCACCTGATGGGTAGTGGTAACTGTCGCCTATAGACATGAGCAGTACCATGGACATAACATAGTATACTGTTTCGCCCATGATACCACCCATGCGTTGCCATTCCTGAGGAATCAGGTGTTATTCCCCTGTACCCAGTAAATTCACGCCATATCCCACCCTTCAAACCGAAACGCAGCCATGCAAACACAACTGCTTCACGGTAGAAACACGAATGGGAAAGAAATACCCAAGCAATCGACTTGTATACAAATCATTTAGTAATTTAGTCTAGACTTTGTAACTTCTGATAATTATTACTGTATTTACTAAAACTTGTATTTTACTTAGATTTTATTTGATATCTATTAGGAAAGTATCTTTCTTCATAACCAAAAGTTAAAAAGTTGGAAAATACTGTATAAAATCATTTTCAAAGTAGCCTGAATAGTGACCTAATCGATGAATGGATAGATATTAATCTTTAATTATGCAACGGGGTAAGCAGAACTGGTGTCAAAGATATCTATTCTTATACGCTTACCTTACTTCTCTTTTATAATTCGTCTCATATAATACACACTGGTTTCGCACAAAATCAAATAGCCGTCTATCTGAACATAATAAGTATGTCTAGGCCTCCCTGGTAACTGCTATATCCAATTTCGTATTATATACACTCGTAAGTATATTTATGTCTTTATATTTTGAATAAACATTCTTTCCACATCCAGATAGATAGATAGATAATTTATTTACATTACTTACAGCACACAAATTACAATAAAAAAAAACATACACATAATACACAGTAAAAGAGATAAAAGAATGAAAATAAAAAAGCACAAATAAAAAAAAACAAAAAACAAAATATATAAACTAACAATCTCCTTTCTTTCCCTTCCTTCATGCGTGTGCCATAGTAGCACAAAATGGTCACAGCTCAGTTTATTGCTTTGCCCTATATAGCGTGTTCGGTAACCTGGACAAGAGCGCGACAGCGCGGAGCTCAGTAACATTTATGGCCAGCAGTCGCGTCCACCTGCTGCAAATCAACTCCACTGCCTTCCACCACATCATCAGCGACTTCCCCGCCGTGCTCGCACTCGTGAACAAGTATCGCTCCAATAATGCGGTCAGTCTTGGCATTGTGGCATTATGTTATCACCTTTAATTCAGCCGTCAGGGGTAGAGGATTATTTGTAATGAAGTGTAATAGTCTTGTAATATTATGCCGACTTACATCTAATTCTCCATGGAAATCATTAAATTCCTGGTGAATATATCACGATGGTCAACTAAATAAACTTCACCTTCAATCCAGATTGGTATCTCACCAGCATACACTAATAACGCACCCTGGATTATCACTGCATTTTAATGGAAAAAAACAATCGTATAAGGTCTTAAACTACTTGCAATGAAAATTCTGCATTTACTGAGTTCCTGAGGTTGTCACTCCATCAATTGTGGGATCATTTTACGGTGCATTTGTTTATATGGGTTCGAAAATTGAAATTCTTTCTACCAATATTGTTGTGTTCACGGCCACGTATTTATTAACGCAATCAGCAATAAAAGTTATCTTGTCAAAAATTCGTAACGACCATGCCAGATATGACCCATGCACAGGTTATGATCCAGTTTAAAAAAAAAAAAACTGTTTCGCAATAATATACAGATATAAAATATTTACAGGACTATATTATTGGCAACATGGGCGAATCCTTGCGTACCTGGAAGGAACAGAGCCCAAGCTTGCCCGCCGTGGTGCGAAATCGCAAAGGATTAATAAAGCACCTCCATTTAAAGGAGAAATTCATCCAAATGTACCTCATCATAGTTTCGTTGCTGTGCATATATTTAGATGTGTACAACGCAGGCTTCCAGGACAACAGGACTGTTCTGATCATCATTCTGTATGTGTTAGACATAGGGTTTTATGTGAAAATCTTGGCGTATTACTCACTCCCTTATATGGTGGATTCGCTGGATTTCAAAAAGGTTCTATTACCTATAAGAAGGACGTAAGTATAAAGCAACTTTGTGAATTTCTATTACATCTACTAGTATTATAAATTGTGAAAGAGTTCGAATGTGATTGGATGTTTGTTCAAATTCGAAACGTCTTTAATCCAATAGACTTTTAAATCGTTATTTTGAATGTTTTTCTTACTAGGTTTGGAATGTTTAGTACATATACTGTTGAAACAAGCATTAGTTTAGAACGTTATCTGCTGAGAAAAACCTGCAAGAAACACAATAGTTACCTTTTTAATAAATTTAGGTATAATATTTTTCAATTACGTTTAAACACTTGAAGGGATTTTAATGAATTTTGGTATGCATATAAAATACATCTTATCGCCGTTAACCGTCCACTGCTGAACATAGGCAGAACCCCTTGGGGGATATTGCTAGTAGATGCCACGCTTGGCAGGCGGGTCGGCAACCGCAGTTAGACTTTGATGATGTTTTAAGATGTCCATTCCTCGACCGTTAATTTCCTCACCATTATTTTCCTCATTCCTCTCTCATTTCCTCATTATGTGCCTCAGCTACGCCTCGGCCCACATTTTCACGTTCGTCCATCTATGCCTCAGTTGCTGGCTGCTGCAGTAATGTACTATTATATATTAATTTTGCTATTTAGTTCCGGTATAAGATAGGCCACCTCTTCTTTTCCCTTGGGTGTCATGAGAAGTGACTAGTCAAGACTAAGGGAACTTGACAGTCGAAGGATGAACAGCATCGTCCCTCATAAAACATCACCAAAGCTTAACTGCGGTTGCCAATCTGTCCGCTTGTGCTATCGGTATACACTGGCGGGTTACTACTAAGGGATGATTGGTGAAAATGAAATCAGAAGCTCCGTCAGCGTATATTGTTCGCGCAAGTGGGGTTACCATTCCATTATCATCCGCTAAAAAAAGTAAAGATTACAAATTAATCATATATTACAGGTATTTCAACAGCGAATTCAAATACGACCTGTTATCATGCCTTCCGATTGAATTGCTGAGTTTGCTCTCATTCAAACATCGCTGGATGCTGTTCTCTTGGCTGAGGTTCAACAGGATATTTCGAATTGTAAGAATAAGTTTGGATAATAGGGGTAGATAATATATAGTGATTTCGGGGGAAAGGGATTGTTAGTAATGGAGACTGAGAATCGCATTGCTAGCAATATACCCAATCAGGTCGACCTCCTCGCTGTTCTTCCTGGAAACTGTCATGCTTTATTCCTAATGAATTCATCACGATGGGTTAACTGGCCTGTTTTCATTCTTATCTATCACCCTTCACTGGTGCTCCGCCAGCGTATCCCGTTAGCGCAGGCGGGGTTACCATACCATTTTCACCCATCAAAAAATAAGTATATATATATATATATATATATATATATATATATATATATATATATATATATATATATATATATATATATATATATATATATATATATATATATATATATATATATATATATATATATATATATATATATATATATAATATCATCCATTATATATGTATTAGTTGGCTGACATAGCCTTCCTCATAAGGTAGGTTTTGCCAGCAATTGCCATGCTAGATAGGCGGGTTGGCAACCGCAGTTACGTCTTTGTTGATGTTTTAAGAGGGATGTTGCTACCCATCACTCGACTATTAAATCCTTACGACCCTCTTACGATACCCATGATAAATAAGGGGTGGCCCGTTCTATGCCGGGACAATATTGCGTCACAGGTGGGAAAGGGATTATGCAAAGGAGTATGACAGTCCCATTGCTAGCAGGTCGACCTCCACGTGGTTCCCCTGAAAACCATCGTGAACAATTCTTGTTGAATTCGTCACGATGGGCTAACTGACCTGCTTCATCCTCATCTGTCATCCTTCACTGGTGCCCCGCCGGTGTATACCGATAGCGCGGGTGGGGTTACCATTCCATTATCATCATTTAAAAAAAAAATATGGCGTCATAGGTGAGAAAGCGATTATGCAAAGGAGTTTGACAGTCCCATTGCTAGCAATATGCCCTATCAGATCGACCTCCACGTGGTTCTCCCTGGAAACCATAGTGAACAATTCTTGTTGAATTCGTCACGATGGGCACGTCACCCATAAAAAAAAATATGGCGTCACACGCTTACTTGTTGTATACGCTCTTAAATGTTGATCATATGCGGAGGTGACGGTGTACAAGTCCCTGAAGCGGCACAACGAGCGGCTGTCCATCAACCTGCCGTTGAGCACGGCGTGCGCGGTGCTGGTCTGGTTCACGCTGTTCGTGCACACCGCCGCCAGCCTCTGGCACTACGTCGGCCTCATGGAGGAGCACACGGAACCGCGATCCTCGTGGATACATAACAGTTGAGTATTGAGAGCTGGCCGTTTATCGATGGTAGAAAATAAAATAGAAATAACTTGGATTTAATAAATGCAAGATGATAGGTGAGGATGAAGTCAAGTCACCAGAAATTAATGCCATTCTCCCATGGCCGTAGCTAGGGAAGGGGGGGAGGCGCAATGCCTTACCTTAAAAGGCCCAATACCATTAAATATTAAGAAAATTAGACAGATTGTACCCTGTAAATTCACGCCATATCCCTTCAAACCGAAACACAGCTGAATGGGATAGAGGTACCCAAGCAAACGATTTTTGTACAGTCTCCCTCTTTTTATAACATAAGAAGCAATGACCAAGCAGCTCACGATAGTAAGTGATTACCGCCACTTACTATTGCGAACTGCTGCAATCCTGGATATATTTTGTACGTGATTTCTATTTAAGAGGAAAAATGTTCTTTTCTCTATGGTTTCAATATTGTGTTTATATTTAACATGCTTTTTCAATGGTTTTTTTTTATGGGTGAAAATGGTATGGTAACCTCGCCTGCGCTAACGGGATACGCTGGCGGAGCACCAGTGAAGAGTGATAGATGAGAATGAAAACAGGCCAGTTAGCCTATCATGATGAATTCATCAGGAATTAATGATAGTTTCCAGGGAGAACCGCGAGGTGGTCGACCTGGTTGGGTATATTGCTAGCAATAGAATTCTCAGTCTCCATTACTAACAATCCCTTTCCCCCCGCTTCTTCAATGATTGACAGACGCTGGTGGTAGCTGGTGTCACAACTATTACATCTGTTCGGTGTACTTCATACTGACCACCTTTACGCAGAATGGAGTCGGAGACATCATGCCCAAGAAGCAATCAGAGGTACGCCTTTACTTATTCTTTCATTTAATAATTAATTTAGGGGCGTTTTCATGCGTTTGTTTTTTAAATTTGTACACTGATTTGTAAATGGTAATGAATGACTTAGTTGTGCTAATATAGACATTTTATAATGATTTATATTCCTTCCATTTGATGCCACTCGAAGCACAGAAGTCGATTGCTTGGGTACTTCTGTCCCATTCGTGTTTCTACCGTGAAGCAGTTGTGTTTGCATGGCTGTGTTTCGGTTTGAAGGGTGAGATATGGCGTGAATTTACAGGGTACAGAGGAATAACACCTGAGTCCTTAGGAATGGCAACGTATGGGGGATATCATGGGCGAAACAGTATACTCTGTCATGTCCATGGTACTGCTCATGTCTATAGGCGACGGTTACCACTTTCCATCAGATGGGCCGTCAGCTTGTTTGCCGGCGGAGCACCAGTGAAGGGTGATAGATGAGAAAAACAGGCCAGTTAGCCCATCATGATGAATTCATCAGGAATTAACCATGATAGTTTCCAGGGGGAACCGCGAGGAGGTCTACCTGGTTGGGTATATAGCAATGGGATTCTCAGTCTCCATTACTAACAATACTCCCCCCCCCCCGCAAATCAGGATTAAACGGATTGATCCCGTTGATTGATTGTGCATGTTGATAGAATTTTGCTTCTGCAGACACTTGTTGTACCATCACATGTGGAGTGTTTATAAAATAAAAAATATATATATATTTAAAAACAATACCACAGTTGAAAGCGTCTGTAACGCGTGACGTTGATATTTACTGATCTTTTTCAGTTTTTAGGTCAAAAATAAAAAAAAAATAACCGGATAACATTAGAAAATATGTAAAAAATCAGCAGTGTAAACACCGGCGATATTATGTTACCTGGGTACATGACGTCGTCAGGGCGTGTCGAAACATCTCGCGTACGTTTTGAGCGTATGCCAAGGAGCACATGCTCGTATCGTGCCTTTATGATTTTCATAATTTCCGTTGCGCAAACTATTTGAAGTACTTTTATAGATCGATCCACTCGAGTTCGGGGGAATGTTTGCTCTCTAACCTTGTTGATTTACAATACGTAATCGTAGCACTGCTATTTTGGAACGTGACTTTCATTATTTAAATTCAATGGATTTGCTATTATTACAATTTACATGGATAGATTTTTTTTTTTATTTAAATTATTTTACCACTTTCCATCAGGTGGGCCGTCAGCTTATTTGCCATTCTAAATTGTATAAAATAATAATAATAAAAAAAAATCTGTTATTTTCAACCAGGTGGTTTTCGTGTGCATACTACAGATAATATCCACCATGGTGTACATGATTTATGTGGGCGAATTCTCCAACATCATCCAGTACCAGTCATTTAGATCAGTCGGCTTCTACTGCAAATACCTAGAGCTTCAGGTACGCTGAATTAACTTAATTAGATATTATGTAAGGCGATCCGGCTCGGCTTCGCACGAGTAGACAGAACTTTCTAAAATCGATACATACAATAGGGGGAAAGGGATTGTTAGTAATGGAGACTGAGAATCCCATTGCTAGCAATATACCCAGCCAGGTCGACCTCCTCGCGGTTCTCCCTGTAAACTATCATAGTTAATTCCTGATGAATTCATCATGACGGGCTAACTGGCCTGTTTTCATTCTCATCTATCACCCTTCACTGGTGCTCCGCCAGCTTATCCCGTTAGCGCAGGCGAGGTTACCATACCATTTTCACCCATATAAAAAAACAATACATACAATAAAAAATGTTTCAGCCAATTCAACTGATCGGTTATTTTATAGCATTTTATATGTGATTCCTTAGATTGATATAACTTTTTTATTTATGAACCGATTGAAATAAAATAAACACTAAATGTTAAGTGGAGCAAACTATAACGAATTAGTGAAAACCGCATTTAAATCTGTTAATCCGTTTCTTAGATTAGCGTGCACAAATGTACAGATAAACAGACAAAAATTCTAAAAATCATTGTTTTTGAGTTCTATTGCATTCATAAAACCCCCTTATAATAGTTTTTCTTATATATTCATGTACAGACAGTGACCAGTTACGATTTTATTATATGTATATAATATGAGGTACAAAGACAACTGATTCTTGTAATAATAACGTTTGACCTTAATAAAAAAAAAAATTTCTAAAAACAACAAACAAATGTTCAAAACATTCGAAATTCAAAGTCGTAATTCAAATCTTAAATCGTCATCTTTTATGATTCTACCGCTGAGTTGGGAATATCTATTAGTGTTTTTATAAACAGCTCATTACATCGTTTGATTGTTGTATTGTAACGTAATGCTGAATGTAATGTATCAGTATCTTATCCCATCTTCTGTTACCTTCTTTCAATATTATTATATACCTCTACACGGTTTACAAATATCAAAACTGTCCTAAAGTCAGTGTTGCCAGATGCGGTTTTTGGTTTTTGCTCAAATGTCGAAGGTTTGTTCTTCAAACCGAAACACAGCCATGCAAACTTAATATACGAGGTTTGTCCGGAAAGTACGTATAAAAGTTTTTTAAAAATTTTATTTTACAATTATTCAGGTAAATCCATTTTATCCCCTTCAAAGTACTCCCCTGTGACATAATGCACTTGTGCCAACGCCGTTTCCACTGTGAGAAGGCTCCTTGAAAGTCCTCTGGTTGTAGGTTTCTCAGCTGCCCCGTCGTAGCTTTTTTTATCTCATTTATGTCCCCCAAATGCCGCCCCCGAAGTACCAATTTGGTTTTTGGGAACAAGAAGAAGTCACACGGGGCCAAATCCGGCGAATAGGGGGTGTTCGGTCACCGTAATGGAATTTTTACTCAAAAACTCACGGAACGATCTTGGCGCAAATTTTTTTCATTTGAAGTTCGTTTCTTAGAATTTCGTGGACCACGGTTTTGCCCAAATTAAGCTCTTCAGCCACCTGTCTGACCGTTAAACGACGGTCCCCATTAACACAAGTTCGAATTCTTTCCACGTTTTCGTCGGAATGTGAAGTGGAAGGACGTCCTGAACGTGGGTCATCTTGAACGCTTTCTCGGCCCTCTCTGAATCTTTTTAGCCACTTGTGGACGGTTGGTTCCTTCACAGCATCATCCCCATAAACTGTTCTGAGATCGGCAAAAATTTCACGGCCATTCTTGCCGAGTTTCGAGAGAAACTTGATTACGACGCGCTGCTCTTCAAAATGGCTCCATGCCGACGGGGTTTCGTTAAGAGGTTTTAGATGGCGTGACAAGCCATTCGCACCGCACGGCGGTCAGACCAGAACTGAAGCATTGTTAGGGACATAAGGAAGGGGTCCTGCGCTTACCTGGCCTCCCCACTCCTTTTTCTCGCATTCCAGAACACTTTTATACGAACTTTCCGGACAGACCTCGTATATTGATTTTTACTGCCTTTTGTCATGAGTAACAATGCGAACGACGAGAAAAAGAAGAAAGATCCGCACTACCTACATAAGAATATGATATCTTCTGGTTTGCTACCTTCATTCGCATGTTTCTTATGAATAAAGGTAGCAATATGATTTATAAAAACCAAAACTGCCAAATAATTTACTCAAATTTCACCAAGCCCGTTTTACTTTTCTCTAAAAATTTTTTTAACAATTTCATTTATCCAAAGTTTTTCGAACAGAATAATTTTTACCCAATTGCAAAAAAATACCCAATCTGGCAACACTGAATACAGTTTCCAACGTATAGACAAAACATTTATAAATATTTTACTGCATCAGGTTTTTTTATTTATTTTTTTTTTTATTCTTTATTGCACAATAAAATTTTGTACAAATAGCGAGCTTAATGCCATATGGCATTCTCTACCAGCTAACCATTGGGTAAAAACAGAAAGCGTATGAAGGGCAGATGTGGTGAAAAATATGTGACAATATGTTTTTTTTTTTTGTTAAAACATTTTTGCCAATTCAGGAGTTTTTAAAGAACAATCGCGTATCAAAGAACCTGGTGGCGGTGGTGAACAAATACTCCCTACACGTATGGCGCGAGTCGCGCGGCGAACAAGTGCCGGACCTCCTGAGGAGTGCGCCGCGCTGCCTCAAGCTGGCCGTCATGTCTGCCGCCTACCTCGAGCATCTGACCAGTGTAAGTTTTTTTCATTCACATTGAGTCCGAGTCCCCACTCGGATCCGAGTGGTGAGCATAGTGGCCATAGTGGCGGTGCTTTCCATCCAAAAATCCAAAACAATGTTTTTTTTATTAAAATAATAATAATAACCATATATATTCATCCATATTTTTAAATATTCGTATATACTTAATCAAAATTCGCCTTAAAAAAATTGGTTCCCAGCTATTATTTTCCATTAATTTCGTAGGCAGTGGATGTGTTAATGGATGACAATAGAATGGCAACATATATATATATATATATATATATATATATATATATATATATATATATATATTATATATATATATATATTCTGATTCTCGTATTTAAAAATTTGCTATCAGCAAAACCTACCCAGTTGATTGTTATTACTATACCGACAACTGACAAATAACCTTAGGTACTTATCATAAATACAAGGTGCTTACAAATCGTCATAGTCGTAGAATACCGACGGATCTGACAAAGATTACATATAAAGATCCGTCAGTATTCCACGACTATGACGATATGTCATACAATTAGATCTTAAAATGCATTTTCGTTGCTTGGATGCTTCGGTATTTATTTATTTCATTCTTTATTTCATTTTACATATAAAAAAAAGTGACAAGTTATATAACAACATCATTCTTTTCAGAATCCCGTCTTCAAGAACTGCGAACCTGCTTTTCTGAGACAACTTGTGGGACATTTACAGTTATACATTTATAATGAAGGTAAAATACATGATAATATTTGTTGCTAGTAACAGATAGATACGCTGTCAAGCGGCCTCCCTGACAGCTATCGGAGTTTCTAGTACATTCGCCATTATGTGGCAACTAACCTAACTTCGTTCCATACCTATTGTCCTTTACCAGTGAGGAATGATAGATGAGGATGAAAAGGTAATTCAGTTAGCTCATCGTGATGAATACACCTGGAATGAGGGAAAGGGATTGTTAGTAATGGGGTCTTATTGACCCATTGCTAGCAATACACACTATCAGGTCGACCTCCACGCGGTTCCCCCTGGAAACCATCGTGGACAATTCTAGTAGAATTTATCACGATGGGCTATCTCACCTGCCTTTTCATCCTCACCTATCATCTCTCACTGGTGCACCGTTAGCGTATCCCGATAGCGCAGGCGGGGTTACCATTCTATTATCACCTATTTAAAAAAATACACCTGGAATGGTACGATGGTTTCCAGAAGGGACCACGTGGAGGTCAATCAACCTGACGCGGTATATTGCAAGCACCAGGTCCAGTAGTCTGCATTATTAATAATCTCTTCCAATACAAAATGATACGGTCAAAACAATAATGATATGGTCGGGTAGCAAAAAAAAAATTATTTTATACAACTTAGACTGGCAAATAAACTAACGGTCCACCTGATGGAAAGTGGTAACCGTCGCCTATAGACATGAGCATTACCATGGACATAGCAGAGTATACTGTTTCGCCCATGATACCCCCCATACGTTGCCACTCCTGAGGACTCAGATGTTATTCCTCTGTACACTGCGAATTCACGCCATATCTCACCCTTCAAACCGAAACACAGCCATGCAAACACAACTGTTTCACGGTAGAAATACGAATGGGACAGAGGTATCTAAGCAAACTACTATTGTACAAAGTCTCCCTCCCCAATGTATTATTGTCGTATGGCCAGGCATGTATGTAGTGAAGGAGAGCCAGATCACGGACTCCATGTACCTGATACACTCGGGTCACGTTCAGGAGACTGGAACGAGCCGCAACACTTTGAAAGTCTTCAATACCGGAGAGTGTTTTGGAATGGTAATAAAATTGTATACTTATTTAAACGAATTAAAAAAAAGGAGGTTCTATCATCTATAGAATAGGTTTTATTATCTATATTAATTCCATTACTATCTTTAGGAGGGTTTATTCCCATAAAGTTTCCATATAAAAATATCTAGTCGGTTGGGTTCATATAATTCTTGTGGTAGTACATATTATTATGGTTTACTCCATCGGATTTAGTACGTGTATATCAAGTTTTATAGTTATTGGTTAAGCTGTTTAGACGCTAAAAGGTAACATACAAACTCACTTCCATATCCTGCTCGTATCTCTCTCTTTCACTCAAAAACTATTAAATGGAAATGAATGAAATCTGGTACACCAATAGGTTAGATCCTAACTTAGCATATAGGATGCTTTATGTATTGATGCACGCGAGCAAAGCCGCGGGATATAGCTAATTTATAATATCAGTAAGAACTGATCCTGTATAAATGTTGTTACATTTTTCGTTTTTTTTTTTTTTGTAACATAAGCTATTTAAACGCATATATAATATGAGTTCATATATTCTTTATATAATCGATATACGTCGTGTTTGTTCCAGTATGAAGGTCTAAACCGCAATACACCTTATGCACACACATATCAGACGCTCACCAAATCTCGAGTGCTCACGCTACACTTGGCTGATTGGGAATATTTACTCGAACATTTTCCTCAAAGTAAAAACTTGATTTTTAAATACATGCAGTTTGATGATGATCACCCGGATAAACAAGGAGATCCAGAAGTAATAAATGCAGACCCTTCTAAATTCATAGCTGAAGATTTGAAAAAGGAACCAAGTTCACTTCGCGTTAGGCCTCCTGAACCACCTCCTTCCCCACCGCCATTTCCCCCAGCTCCGCCATCATCGCCCTCACCGTCTGCAGCGGACAGAGGTCTTACTTTTTAGGACAAATAGAGGAATCTTCTGATACAGAAGAGATTAAAGCAAATCCTCTGAAATCCGATGACTCTATTCTGAAGATAAGTGAACAAAAACAGTCAACAGGATTTATAAAAGCTAAACAAGGTAGCAAAATATTACATCTTGAACCGTCTCGTACAAATATTGGCTCTATGGACTCCGGAGCGGGGGCTGAAAGCAAGACGACTCTCCAAAGTACTGCTTCATTAGATAGCAGAGATACAGATGAGTTTCTGAACAAAATAAAGAGCAAAAAAAATTTAGAAACTTTAAGACAGACAAATGAATCTCTCTATGTTACTCAATCTACCACGACACAAAAAAAATCTACACATAGGAATACGGGAGATACAGAAGAAGCATTAAAAAAACTATCATCACTTATGAATAGAGCTAAGAAATTATTTCGCAAGAAAGAGCTAAACGTAAATGAATCAGTAGCGGATAATTCTGAATCTAGTGATGAAGATGTTTTACTGATAGAGGAAGATGAGGCTGCTACATCTGATCTTCTAAAGAAATTTTTAGAGCCATCCAAACAAAGAGCTAGCAATGTAATTGAGAAGGAAAAAATAATTGCAAAAATAAGCAGAACTAATTCGGAAGAAGTGATTGATGAAGAAAATGAGGAGCATATAGAAACATTGGACATTGTCAAATCAAATGCAGCTATGGAGAGATTTCAACATACCGTTAATAGTGCGATTTTTGATACAGATAAAAAGATAGAAGGTCTCGATATAACAGACGACGATGAGGATGTTAATATTCAAAGATCATCGTTTACTATGAAAGACGAATCTACAGCTGCTTCGCATTCGAATAAGCGTATTATACGTGTACGATATGAAAATGACGCACCTTCTTCTTCTCAAGCACAGAATAATTTACCACATCGTGACTCGAAATCTATTCAAAATATTCCAGTCGATGATAAAAATCTTAGGTCGCTAGAGAGCGACATGGAAGTAAAAGTTCAACCTAAGGTAGAAAAAGAAAGCGAGTCAAGTTCAACAGTCACCGACATTTCTGAGAGTGACAAGCAAAATAAACACAATCGTTCTTCAATTTAATTTACATATATAGACTTTTAACATCTAAATTTGTTACTTTCATTATAAATAAACAGAGAGAGATAGTAGTAAAGACTGTTGATATTTATAAATTTGCATATTACTATCTGAATGTTTACCACCCTAAAGGTAACTCATTCACAGATGTAAGGTTATCACCGAGGCATGCATTTATCAAGTCCGTCCATTTGGAACGCGGCCAAATTTGCGATTATTTTGGAGTATCGTTAACATTGGTTGTTTGTACGGCGGTTCACCGCCAAGGATTGTACACCGTGGCCTATTCCCGTTTGTTGATATTGATATTTAGATTTGCCTTCTGTTTTATTATATTATCAAAACAGTATATCAGTGGGGCGCATGCCAAAAATTGAAATAGTCGTGCTGTTATGAACTTTTTATTTTGTCTTTGTATTATTTTGTTGTCGCCGATTGCTATTCTATTTTTATGTTTATTTTTCTTTCAATATTTTACTTTAAATCTAATGTTTTATTATTTGTCTTGTAATAATTATAAATTTGCCGTTGAATATGTTGTTGACTTTTATTTTATTGAATTTAAAAAGGAATTTTGAATGAAAGAAGTGATACTTAAAAAACTTTATTATAAAACTTAATTATAAACAATGATAAAAAATCTAATTGGCGATGGCTTGCATAGATCAGCAACAGAGTTTGTTACTGCCCACCCTCATTTTTATTACTGTGATCTTTTGTTGTCTTTCACTTACATTTTAGAGTTTAAATTGGAATGCCCAGCACTGAATTTTATACCTTGCCTTACTTGATGACTTCACATGTTTAGACGTTCAACTATCGAATCTAGATTTCTTCATTTCCGGTCTTAAGTTAGTTAAATGCTTGGGTATATAACGAAATTGCTATACTTATAATTAACTTAGTTACTATAATTACGGTTCCTTAAATGTATTATTTTATGGCACTTTAGCTAACCACCTTCTCCCATTGGTTTCATATCTTCGAATGGTTCGCAGTGACCATTATCTGAAACAAATAGAATTATTCTTATTATTTATATTTTACAGTTAATTTGAAGATTAAATATTTTACATTTAAGATTCAACGCCACGTGTCCATGGTACTGATCATGTCTATAAGCGACGGTTACCGCTTTCCATCAGGTGGGCCGTCAGCTTGTTTGCCATTTTAAGTTGCATAAAAAAAATTATTGCTAGTACATCTATGTTCGCTATGTAGATCCCAGCATAGAATGGGCCACCTCTTCCTTTCCCGTGGGTGTCGTAAGAGGCGACCAAAGGAACGTAATGGTAGAGGGATGGTCAACAGTGCCCCTCTTAAAATATCACTTAAAGCAAAATTCGGTTGGCAACCCGCTAGCTAAGCGTGGCAACTACTGGCAAAACTCCGCTTTTGGGGAAGGCTTCTGTTCAGCAGTGGACAGTTAAAGGCTGACATGATGACGATGATACCTACGTTTGTATTATTAATATTAAGTATTTATAAGTAAGTACAATGACTGTTTACCATTAAACGGGCTTTTTTTTAAAATGGATGATAATGGAATGGTAACCCCACCCGCGCTATTGGTATACACCGACGAGGTACTAGTGAGAGGTGATAGGTGACAATGAAAAGGCAGATCAGTTAGCCTATCGTGATGAATTCACTTGGAATAAAACACGACAGTTTCCAGGGGGAATCGCGAGGAGGTGGACCTGACAGGGCGTATTGCGTATACAATGGGCTGTATGCTTGTTTGTCACTTTTTTGCTCTGTTTTGGTATAAAAAATAAAAAAATATTTGGACGATTGCATAACGTTCAGGATAGTCCAACCACCTATTTCTAGGCACATAAATCCGCAAATATTATGACTGACGTCAACGGTCAAGCTCAATTTATTCGTAAACGCATTCAGAGATATAGTCGAGAAAAATCTTTACAGACTCATTAAATGTCGCTGCTTGATGTTTATGTTTTTATATATATAAAGTCACACATATTTCTGTCTCGCAAACATCACTCGGCTCGGTCGTGTTTACTAAATGTTCCCGAGATGTTTTTATTTCGTGATGAAATTGTTATTAAACTATAAACATTACTGGTTTGAGCATAAACAATCGAGGCAGATTTTTTTTAACGCATGATAATGGAAAGGCTGCCCCGCATGAGCTAACGGTATACGCTGGCGGGGCACCAGTGAGGGATTATAAATGAGAATGAAAAGGCAGGTCAGTTAGCCCTTTCGTGAGGAATTCAACGATAAATTAGTCACAATGGTTTCCAGGAGGAACCGCGTCGAGATCGACCTGATAGGGTATATTGATAGCAATAGAGACTAATCTCCGCATTACTAACATTCCCATCTCCCCTCCCCCCCTCTCTGAGGCAGATATTACTTGTTAAATTTGGTATTCAATATTAATATTTTAAACATACAGCTAATAGCAGTACATAAAAATTAATTTAAGTTTATTTATATATTCATAAGAACATCAAAAGCGTATTATAATATATATATATATATATATATATATATATATATATATATATATATATATATATATATATTAAATATAATACAATATTAATGCGCATGCCTATTAAAGGTATTTACAGCATTTGCTTTAACATAATTTTACAGTATGAAATGAAATAAACAATTTTAAGGAATTAAACAATACTGGACTACAAATATTTAAAGATATATGTTATTATAATTCGAGTTACTTATTATTAGATTATAGTACAGTGTGTCAGCAATTTATTCCTGTAGGACTTCAGGTTGTCACTGAAAGCAATTTATGACTTTGTAATTCGTCAATACAATATACAAAGCAAATGATCCTACTAGTTGAATGAACAGGATTAGGATAAAACCCCCAGGGCGCAATATATATATATGTCGTGTATAGAATGTCTCAAAGTTATGAAACTCCTATTTTAGCAAAAAGGAGATGTACTTGTTTATTATTATTCTCTGGTTCTTATATATCTATTTCGATTATAAAATTCAATAAATTAATGTTGCCAACGTTATAAGTAAATGATTTAAGGCCAATGCTCTCATCATAGACAACGTCAATTTTATTTTTCACGACACCGGAATAAGCGCCAGTAATCGATGTGTTTGCGACCGAGGAGAAACACGAAACTAAAATACTTTGATATAAATTTATAGCAATTTTATTTTGTATTTCATTATAAATTATACATATAATATATGATTTAGAATAGTTATCTACTTATAAATTTTTACTCGGTTTTAAATTTATATGAACTAGATTTTGACATTTATAACCTAACTTTTGACATTTACCTCTTGCCTTGACGACCATTGTGAATAAATAAATAAATTAGTGTATTCTACTTAGTGTATATTAGAGAGAAAAGAATGTAATAAAACATGAATTTTAGTTAATAATTCTTTGGAAAGAAACAAGAACTGAAGTAATTGGGCGTATCCGTGCATTGCGATTATTTGTTTCAAATCAACAAGTCTTCAAATAACTGACAGTCGCAATTTGACGTGTTTACAGTCCGCATTCCGGTTTTGATCCGTTTTTTCAACGCTTGGCAAGTGTACAAATTTTAAGATAAACAATAATAATTTTAAAACAAAGAATATTACGACAATACGGGTGCACATTCGGAAATTAATTTATTTGCACTGTCTCAGAAAGCAAAGACACGGACAATATGGCTGCGATTTGCTTTATATCACGCAACCTGGGTTTTATCTGAAATAATACGATTCTCATTATTATTTTAACGTTTCAAATCAACACGAATTCATTCCAATATAAAATAACATCCGCACATCAATCATCAGTCCCACATTAGTAAAACAAATACTGTTTACTTTAAATTAAAATAAATCTATCGTTTATTTGTGTCTTCGTGTTCACCATAGACTCAGTATAACGCACTACGTTATTCTAAAGTGTTTAACTACTATTTAAACGTATTAGAATTATTAAAATATAATTCAAAATAAAAACTATTTTCTGCATTACTAGATTTTACTCACGACTTTGTCCGCGAGACCATAATAAGTATGTTTATTGACCGGAATAAAAAGTAACCTATGTCCTTCTCCGTTTCATACGTGCATAAAAAATTAAGCTATTAAGCTGCTAAGAGGTAAAAACCATACTAACTTGTACATTTATAATATAAACCAGGATTAATGAAGCTATTGTTTTAAAAGTTATTCCGTTAGTGTTAATTTGCCACTTGACAAGTTGGCAGCTGATAATTGGTCGTTAGACGTTGTGTTAGGTCACGTTATAATGAATGAAATGTTACTTTTGGCAACAATAAAATAATGTTACAAGTTTACACATATTTAAATTTAAACATGGTGGATTCCAACCGTTAAAGATAGAAATAGACCAATATTTATTTTAATAGACTTGTTTACAAGCACAGACGTCATTTATTAAATTTAATAGTTGTACCATGTTTTTTAATTTAATATTAGAATTAAACTTGGGCCGGGTCGTTGGGCTCCCAATAATATGGTTGAGCAAAACTATGCCTGACTCCGTCATGCTCGTGAACGAACGCTTCTTGTAAGGACTGGTCGAGACTAGCGCGTTTAATTGTAGTTTTTATACATATGTAGTTTGTAATGTTCGATGTATCCATTTTTTTTTGTTTTTGAAAAAATAACAGCTGAATTCTTGCCTGTTCCCCCCCCCCTCCCCCCCCCCCACTGAAATTACATTCTGAACTAGGCGCTAGATTCATTATGACTATTTAAAAATGCTTATAATTAAATTTACACGAATAAAAATTATTTTTATTTATTATTTACTTTAGAAAGAAAAAAACTTTATTTTACAGAAATATGCGACAACACCCACACAGGGGTTAAAAAAAAAATCTTTACGTGGCAACTACTGGCAAAACTCCCCTTATGGGGAAGGCTCATGTCCAGCAGTGGACAGTTAACGGCTGAAATAATAATAATAATTTACTTATTATATCTGTAAGCTCTTATCAAATTTTATAAGTATCGCATAATAAATGCAAAAAGAATTTGGATATGTGTCGTTTTAATTTTATATAATATTTATATTTAATTTACGATTGTTTGTTAAATCAATGCACCGCCATTTACTCTCTCTCTGTTTAACGTAACGGTTGACTGGTAGAGATTGACAAAATATTTAACATAACTACATATTATATTTTATAAGTTGTTAAAGATTTTTATATTTACTCAAATTTTGTAAACAGATGTGAAATACCAAAAGCATAGATTTTTTTTATAAATGCTGAAGATTATTTGTATGCTTAGGTACTTATTAGACTTAGATATATAGCGGTATGCCGTGTGGTCCCGGCATAGAATGGGCCACCCCTTCCTTTCCCGTGGATGTCGTAAAAGGTGACTAAGGGAATTTTATAGTCGAGTGATGGACAGCAGTGTTCCTCTTAAAATATCTCCAAAGCATAACTACGGTTGCCAACCCGTCTACCAAATATGGCAACTACTGACGAAACCCCCATTTATGGGGAGGCCTATGTTCAACTATGGTGTATA